CATTCCCCCGACTTATGGCGCAAAGACAACATGGTTTAAGACAAAGTTTTTAGCAATGTAAATTATTTTTACTACATTTATGAATATATATTGTGTATAAAAATATGTGACATATTATATAAAAATTGTTATAGAAATTCATTAGCATGACTTATTCTATTGTAATAATAAAAAAAAACTTTAACCCCGCAGCAATGCGTGACCATGTTGCTAGTAATGTTTAAGTTGAACACATACTAGTAACAATCCAAAACACAAGAACGTTTCTCGTGAATAGCAATATCCATAGATAAAGCTTAGTCAAATCAAATTCAATTGATATTTCAAAGTATGTTTAAGATTCGGCCATCTTATAAATTTCATTTAATTTAAATTTATTATTAATAATATAAAAAATAATACTAATATTTAAAATATATTTAAATGAAAATTAAATAAAAATTAATTATTTGATAATAAAATATTTTTATTCGTTAGGTCTAAGCTTAAATTTTTTTGTCGTGGACTTGACGAATAGGTAGACAAATTAACGAATACAATTGGATTATGTGAAGGGTAAAAATGGAAAACAGGCGATTTCGATTTGTCGAGCTAAATCAATTTGGATCCAATCCGGGTGACGAATAAAAACCCCATTTCAATGTCGTATACCATATAAGCCTTTACACCGCTATTCCTAAACCTTAACAACCGCAGAGTCTCTTTCTCACTCCCGCGGCTTAGGTGGTGCGGTTTACTGCTTCATCTGTCGCCATGGTCTGGCCATCATCTTTCTCTCCAGTCGCCTCTCTTTACTTTTAATTTGCTTCATTTTCCAGATCATCTTCTTCAATTTTCTCGGGATCCAAACAGTATCTTAACAATGTCGCTTTTTTTTTAGGCGGATGTGGAAACTGATGTCGCTGCTGCAGGGATACCGAAGAAGAGAACATTCAAGAAGTTCAGTTTCAGAGGTGTCGATCTCGATGCTCTCTTGGATATGTCCACTGATGAGCTTGTCAAGCTCTTTCCCGCTCGTGCTCGCCGAAGGTTACCTCTCGCTTTCATCACTATTTGAACTTTTTCTTCTTTAAGCTCGTTTTATGCCCTTTAATTTGTAAATTAAGGTACTTTTGTTTTTTCTTTTTAGGTTTCAGAGGGGTTTGAAGAGGAAGCCAATGGCTCTGATCAAGAAATTGCGCAAAGCTGTGAGTGTTTTACTTTCCATCTTTTAGACCATACGAGGAATTAACTGATTCTATAGTGCTTTTTTCCTCTTTATTGCTGTGTGGATTTGCATTTTTTCTATCGTTGCCCTTGATGTTTAGTATTTTAGATTACTTTTGCTATTTTATTTTTGTAATATTTTGTTGTAATTAGTTGTGTATGTACTTAGATATGAGTTATGATTGACTAGATATGGGAAAATGGTACTGATGAATGATGATCATGTAAAGCTGTAGAATGCTTACTAGATACGATATCAAGAGGTTGTAGAAGCTTTGAATTTTCACTTTGTTAAAATTTCTCATTCAGGAAACTGGTTTTCTGTACTCAACTCTATTGGTCATGTATTACCACATAATTTAACGATGCAAGTTTGCAACAATTGCATTTCTTATCTAGTTCGTTTCTCTACTTGATTTGTATGCATAATAGAGTTTTGTGTTTCGCAAGCAATCGGGGTTTGGAAACTGATGATGTCATCATTTTCTTCAGCATAATATTTGTGATTGTTCACTTGTTGGGTGAAGTTATATATAAATGGTTGATAATAATTCTGATGGACTATTTAGTTGATTTTCATCATATTATTTATTGAATGGATGGTTTGATTGACCAAAATTGTGATATCAGCTATGGTGATGTGGTCTTGCAAAGCTCCTTCTATTTTTTTGACCACACAATGGAAGGAATAACCTTGGGTTGTTGGATAGCTGTGAGTCAACAATTATTGATGGAAAGGAAAACACATGATGGATTTAGTTTTTGGGGACTATTGAGGATTTTAATAGAATAAATCAATGAACACAACAAAATGCCTGTTAGCTATAACAGGATAGCATTGGTCTTATTAAGTTTCAGTTCAATCTTTTGATGAGTACATGTGAAGGTAGCTCCACAATATGATAATGTTTTCATGCTTTGCAGAAAGTGTAGATTGAAGTATAACAATCTTATACCTTGGTGTAAACTCTGTTTTTCCAAACATTGCTATGAACTAATTATCAAACTTCTTAGTGGTCAGATTTCTTTTTTTCTCTTTTTTTTGGGTTAAAAAAGTTGCTCTAAAGTTGGTACCTAAGATGAGATATTAAAGCATTGGTAAATGTTAATACAACATTTTAGTGAGAGTCTGTGAAATGTTTGATAGTGTTATGAATTGGGTTGATTAATCAGTTGTGTTAGAAGTTGTTGATCTGGTTGTGTAACATTTTTCCCGCCCTTCAGTTCTAGTCCTCTCGGAAGGAAGCAATACTTCAAATTTGCTCTTGTTTACATCCCTCTTTTATTTGGATATGGTGATGGCAGATTCTGAACCTCCGTCTGTTATGAGTAGAAATTGCCTATATGCAAAATTTTCTCTACTGTTCCCGCCCTTCAGTTCTAGTCCTCTAAGAAGGAAGCAATACTACAAATTTGCTCGTTTTCATCCCTTTTTTATTTTGATATGGTGATGGCAGATTCTGAACCTCCGACTGTTATAAGTAGAAATTGCCTATATGCAAAATTTTCTCTACTGGTGTAATGGTAAGCAGAACTTATTGATTGAAATTTTTTGGTATCATGTCGTATTTTAAAAATTCTTTGCATGATTATCTTCCTTTCTCCTCTGACTTCTTTGCTATTGTGCATCTTCCATCTTTAGAATCTTTGTTCCTGCAGTTGCATATGTTTCCATTGAATGTATATATTATATGTTCATTAGGGTATTTTACTGATTTCTTTGATTTATAATAATTTTCCCTTGAACTATTTTATTCCTTGGTGATGATGACCAAATTAAATGTAGATAGCATAATATACTAAGAATGTTATTCTGCTTGTTGAAATAGTAACGGCAGGCTCCACCGGGTGAGAAACCTGAGCCTGTCAGGACACACCTCCGCAACATGATTATAGTTCCCGAAATGATAGGCAGTGTTATTGGTGTTTACAATGGAAAGACTTTCAATCAAGTGGAAATCAAGCCCGAAATGATTAGCCATTATTTGGCTGAATTCTCAATCTCCTACAAGCCTGTGAAGCACGGGAGGCCTGGTATTGGTGCCACCCATTCATCCAGGTTTATTCCTCTCAAGTGAAAGATTCTGCATGTGCCTCAATTCTTGGCCTGTGGAATATTTTTTGTTATTGAATTTTGATCAGTTTGTTTAGTGCTGCTACATTCCTGAACATTGAGTGCTCAAGTTAGAGAATAGGACATAGTTAAAGCTTTGGATTTGTTCCCTATTTCCCCTTCTGAAATGGTAGTAAAAAATTGAAGTTTTTTTTTAAAAAGAGTTAAATATAAAAATAACTTTTAAATTATATGTTTTCTGTGAATTTGGTATTGAAAAAAATAAAATTATCAATTTGGTATTTTAACTCTCATTTCATCAATCACTTTGATATTTAAAGACTAATGCCATCAATCAACTTGTTGATATGGCACGAAGATCTAATAAAATGTTAACACATTAAAAAAGTTCAGTTAGTGTTAGGTCATTCATTTTCACATCAATATTAAAAGAAAATTTTTTTAAAATTTTAAAAAATTTGAATATTAAAAAAAAAAAAACTGAATATTTTTTTAAAAATTATAAAAAAAATAAAAAAGCTGAAATATTATAAAAAAATAAAAAATTTATGAAAACTTAAAAAATTCAAAAAATTTCAAAATTTTAATAAAAATCTCAAAAAAATTCAAGAAAATTTTGAAAAAAATAAAAAAAAATTAAAAATTAAAATAAAAAATCTATAATTTTTTTAGAAAATCAAAATTTTTAAAAATTGTAAAAAAATTTCAAATTTTATGAAAAATTTTTATTTTTTGAATCTTACAATTTTTTTAATTTTTTTTATTTTTCAAATTTTTTTTTAATTTTTTAGAATATTTCAAAATTTTGGAAATTTTTAATTTTTAAGAATTTTAAAAAAAATTTTAGAATTTTTTGTAAATTTCCAGATTTTTTTAAAAATTTTAGATTTTTTTCATTTTCAAAATTTTAAGTTTTTTAATCTTTTTTTTTTAATTTTAAGACTTTTTTTAATTTTTTGGATTTTTTATTAAAATTTTGAGTTTTTTATTTTTTAAGTTTTCGTATATTTTGTAATTTTTATATTTTTTAAAATATTTCATATTTTTATTTTTATAATTTTTTAGATTTTTTAAAAAAATAATTTTTTAAATTTTTTAATTTTTTAAATTTTTATTTAATATTGATGTAACAATTAATGACATGATGTTGCTTAAAAAAATTCTTTTACACATATCAATATCTTATTTGATATTCATATCATATTAATATGTGCATTAACGACGACAATTCATAATACCAAAGTAATGATAGAATAAAAATTTAAATATTAAACTGATAATTTTATTTTTTTATATATTAAATTAACAAAAAATGTATAACTCAAAAATCATTTTTATGTTTAACTCTTTTAATATATATATATATATATATATATATATATATATATATATATTGAATTTTCTTCAAACAGACATGAATGAAATAACTGCTATATAGGTCTCATCACAATATGTTTTTGATATTATAACAAATTGGGAGTTTTCAGGTCCCCTGACCTAACAAATACAAATTCATTACAGTTTGAATATGCTAAATGTTAAGCCAATCTTTCTACTCAAATAAGACTAGGAAAGCCTACTTGCTCAGAACCAAACTTCACAAGCATCCATTTCGCATTCCTCATGATGTATTTAAAACAGATTGATTTTTCTGATTGGAGATCCCATTCTCCAACTAACACATTGCTAGCTCGTCCCACCTCATTTTCCTTTCAAGCCATCTTACTTATTACCTAACTTTGCGTCAATTATTACCAGTGGTTTGAAACAAATTAGGTTTTTAACCAAATTCAACTTTGAGTTTGAGAATGACAGACTTTTGACTCCATCATCATTCCTTTAAAAAGCAAGAAATAGAGAATTTCATAACACCCTCCTCTAGAGTTTAATTCAATTGATTCACACAATAATTTTTTAGAAATAATATCTAACAGGTTTGATATTAAGATATATACCTATTAAGGGATGCCATTGCCATACACCTATTAAGATATATTGTAAAAGTTGAATTCCATATATTAGGTTTAATTGAATACAATGAAAATTCTACCATTTTCAAGCGAGTTTAGGACAAAGGAGATCAGAGGAAATTCAAGCCTTTTGTTTGGAACGGAGTAATGCCAATGGCAGAGGGAATGCTACTGCAATGTGTTGTGGAAGCATGTTGCCCATGTTGGTCAGTCTACATAACTCACATGCCTTGTTGCAAAGGCTCGCTAGAATTTGACTTCAATAATTCTTCACGAGAGCGGAAACAAACAAGAAAATGGAAACAGATTGGTTCAACAAACTCAGGAACCATTTTGTATATGCAATATAATTGGTTTGCTCACTCACCCCATCTTTAAACTGAACCAGTTTCGTACACCGAACTCATGTGATGTCCCAGAGTTTCCAGCTGTAGGTGCAATATTGCAGAGACCCTGTTGAAGCCTTTGATGAAGGTTTGACAGAAAATGATGAAAAACAAACCCAGAAAGTGAAAAGAAACTTTAACGTTATAACCAAAACTTCATGGTTGGACATTTTTTACAATTTTAGCTTGACTCCAAACATATTCACCCGCAGACACACCCCATTTATCGACAGCAGCACCCTGTGGAATAAATTCCTTTTTAAGGCCTGTTACAGAGCAGAGAAATGCAGCCCCACAACCCTTGTTTGCTCGTAAAGAGTCCAAACCAAACACCAATAGCAACAAGTTGAGTAGCACAGATGGCATTTTCATTCAATTCAAAAAGTTCAACCCCTTTCAAGCATTGATTGCCATGAAAGATGAAACAGTTCTTACAATTTAAACCCCAATTCTACAATTTCTTTTGGTCCAGCACCAGGCCTAATGCCGGCTGCCAAATTGTTAAAAAGGCTTGGAAAGCCAACCATATGAAGCCCCCCCCCCCCCCCCCCCCCTAAAAAAAAAAGAAAGAAAGAAAAAGAAACTGCTCCGATATATCCCATGCTTGAACCATGCAAAATATGTACAGGAGCAAGTCAAGCCAACCATTGAAAAGGTAACAGATTGAACATTGAAAGGCTTGAAGCAACCTTAACAGAGTTTCCAGTGAGACTATGTTGTTGATTGTGATGGTAACTTCGGGTGGTTATGCTCACCTTCATAGGTAACAGTAAGCATCGATGGCTCTTCCAAGCACCTCTCCACATGCTTCCTTGCAGGGCAACCTCTCATGCTGCTACACTTATAATATCCCCTGCACCAGTTAAAATGACAAAAGCCTCCTAAGTCAATAAATTTAGACAGATTCCAATAATCGTGCATGAAATAAACAAGCTTTCTTTAAACACTTTAAAGGAGCAACTAGAACAAGCAGAATTGCTAATCACCAATTTAAACACTAATACGTAAAAAAAGCAAATGCACCTCTACTTCAAATAATGCTAATTCATTCGGTGTGGCCATGCTGAGTAAACAGTAAAACAGAATCAAAATCTTGAACACCATATGTGACATGATTATGGGAAGAAAGGAAGAGGTTAAGGTTTACTTCACCATGGATGGAAATTTTCAAACACTTGACAGTTCCTTAATATATCATCAAGACTAAGCACTCATTCAATGCAGTTAAAGCACATCTATAAACAAATACTATATAATGGAAAGAAGCTGATTCGGTAGTGCTAGAAATTGTCAACAAAAGTAATACCTAAACAAAAAAAAGTCTGGTTTTCCTAAATACTAAAGGCCGTTTTGCACATAATAAATAACTGTTTTGCAACAATGTTTCCTGTAAGAAAAAGCTCTTTGTTTATCCACTTCTAAGTCAGTAACACTTCCTGGCAGTGATAATCAGATAACTCAAGACACTAAGAATTAAGATCATATAGTAACAAGTTTAATTACTTGTCTGTTTCAATCTAAAAGTTCCTGTATGCACTTAAATTTGTAATGTCACAAGCAAAACTGAGCAGGGCAACACAAAAATTCGCATAACAATATGTCAAATCCAGTCTGATAAATATAAAAGATGACGATCATTACCTAGGGTGAGGAGAACCCTTGATTGGTTTCTGCCCGTATTTCCTCCATGAATAATCATCAGGAGGAATATCAGCAAGCTTGTTACTGATAGCAGGCACCTTGATTGATCTCTTTATTCTATGTTTCCTACCAACAGAGCCATGGAAAAAGTAAAAAACTAGATCAAATCCTTTCTCCATAAATGGAAAAAGAAGCAATTATAAGAATTAATATGAAGAACACAATTATATATAGATAAATAAGGGAAAAAGAGAATCTAACCTCTTTTTCGAGCAGTGGCATCTACCGTTACTTCCACATTTGACACTCCCATCTTCTCCTCTGCCAGAACACTTCTTTTTCTGTTGAGAACCCTGATCTGAGGATCGAGGTACCCCAATTAAATGGAAGTTATTACCACCATCCAATTTAGCTACACTACCATCAATACTCAAGGATGAAATGAAAGACCTAGTTGATGACATAGTAGGCGTGCAGCCAGAGCTATCAAAATTCAAGTTAATGACACTATTACTCTTCCTAAATATCATTTCATCTTGATGTTTCATTTGCTGCTGTTGCTGTTGATGCTGTTGGAACTGTAACCTTTGTTGCATCTGTTGCTGCTGTTGGAGGAAATGATAGTGGCCGGATGGCGCCCGTTGCGGGAGTTGAAGAGGGTTTTTCCCATTTGAACTCAATTCCAAAGATGGATTTCCTAAATAGAGAGAATTCTTAGCAAGAGAACTCAGTTCTTGAAGTGAGCTTTCATGGTAACCAAGCTGCAAATTCTTGGATGGATAATCTGTTGCCTTGTGGTGTGGGTTATCCAAAAGGATGCTCTGAGGAATCGGAGTTTGTAATTTCCTTAGCTTCCTTACTTTAGCATGTCTCAAACCAGCGTTTAAAAGAGAAACTACTCTTTTGAACCTAAAAACAGCTTCTCCAGTTTCAGCCATTAAATTTCTATAATGAACCTGATCTTGAGGCTGAGACAAAATGCTCAAAACTTTATGGCAGCTCTCTACTGCTGCTTTGTTAGCTTCTTCAACTTCTTCCATGTTACCCAAACCAAAAAAGGAAAATCTAATTCCTCAAACACAAATGACCTAAATCAAAACATACAACAAAAGCAGCAAATTTTACTAAAACATTAGATCTTTGAACAAAAAAAAAAAAACTATCACTAAAAAATTCAACTTTCAGATAACCAAAGACCCAACAATGACTTTTTCAACAGAATTTAAACCAAATTTACCTTAAAGGGCCATTTTTTTCCGTTTTCAAAACATATAAGACCAAGAAAATCAGATTCAACCAGTCCTTCAAAAAAATTGGAAAAAAAAAGAAAAAAAAAGAAGCCAGAAACCAGAATCAAAGAAGAAACAGCTCTCTCAAGAAAACAAAGAGAAAAGCAGCAAAAAAAAAAAAACTAGACCTTGGTGTTGTCAAACCCTAGATTCTTCTTCCCATGTTTTTTCAGATTGAAAGGTGTGAAAGAGAAGACTTTGCATTAGCCTTTGAGTGAATTCACAAACGGCCATAACAAAACAAAGCCCCCACCTTTCTCACCTTTCTACTATTATATTACTACTACTAATAATATTTTAATAAAAAAAAATTAGAGAGAGAAACAACAACACAGAAATTCAAGAGAGAGAGAAAAATTAAGAGATTTAAAAAAACAAAGGGGGCGTTTGAGCAGCAGAACAGGAGCTGAAGAAATGAAACTGCCGTCTCTGTCACAGATTTGAACGTGGGTCCTAAGCTAAGACCTTGGTTTATTCTTTTTCTTCTGCTATTTCTGACTTTAATTAATGCCTTCCTTCCTTCATTTTTTCCTTTTTAATTTAAATATATATTTTTTTATAAGACCAAGTTTTACTTCTACCAGAACCAGATGTGTTTTGAGGTTTCTTACTGTCTTGTATTGTAGATTGCAGAGTCGCTGAGAAGCTGGTCAAGATTTGGGACTTACTGTGACTTACTTTGCAACTTGATTTTCATTTGATTTTTACTTTTTACTGTTTGTCCCAACTTTGGACGAAGGATCCTAAAGCATATGAATTGCACCCTTTAGAAAGGGAATATGATTCAGTATTAAATTGCAATTGGCTTCCCAAAAGTTGTTTTATGGTAGGAAAATAAGATAAATTGTTAAAAAGTTTATATTTGATAATTTTATGAATTAAATTATAATATTTTATTAATAAAAAATTATAAATTTTTAGTAACTTTTAACATATAATCACAACATTTTTATTTTTATTTAAATTTTTATCAATAAAATATTATCATCTAATTTATTAATAATATATAAAAATTTATATATTAAATTTATTATTAAATGCATGATGTTTTATAAATGAGATTAATAATTTGACATGTATCGCTTAAAATGTATTAAAACATAAAAAAATTAATTAAAAAATTTTGATATATATTAATCTTTTAATTTTATTTATGAAATTAAAAAAATATTTTCTGATAATAAATTAAATAATTTATCATGAAAATAATGGATGAAACCATGAATTCCACCATTTGTTCTTTTAAGAGTGCTATAACACTCAAACATCATTTTTCTAAAAATTTTTGCTAATTTTACTTTTCTTATATCCAATAAAAATGAAAGGCAAGTGAGCCAACTATTTTTTCTTTATATAAAAAAAAATGACATTTGAAGATTTGTAAATGTTAAAGGCATTTTTTTATTGTAAGCTTGTTAAATTTATATTATTATTATTATATCTTAATTAATCAATCATAATTTTAAAATTATTTAAAATTTATCAAAATATTATAGGAAATTTACATTTGTGAATCTTTATATAAATTTTTTTTCTGTGATTGGATTGCAAGTGAAATGCTTTCCATTATTACTCATTACTCTTTTACCACTTTGCATGGATAAAAAAATTTTACTATTACCGTTAAGAAAACAAAAAATAAAATGATAGATGTTCATTGTGTTGTGTGCATCAGACATTAACCCTTTTCAAAATGACCTTTACTCATAACCTTTCTGAATTCACATAGATTTTGATAGCTTAATTATTACATATAGAATCCCATAAAAAAGTGCCACCTCTACTTAATATATATACAATTCTGCCACCTCAAAAAAAATTTTTTGGGTATATTTTGCTTTGTTAAGATAACCCCAATTTGCATTGCTGCACCTTTCCAAAAAAAAAAAAAAAAATCCTTTTAAGTCAAATTTAGGTCAATGACTCAAAATGATTGCTAAAGGTTTAGCAAAATAAAAATAAAAATCAAAAATCAAAACATAATTTATATAATTTATATTTAAAATATAACATTCATTAAATTTAAATTTTAATATTTATAATATTTTTATTCTAAAATCTTTAAATAATAATAATAATAATAATAATAACAAAACCAAAACTACATTCTTACCCATTTCAAAATTATAAAATAAAATAAAAACAAACAAAAAAGCAACCAGTGTTTTTTACTTTGATTTCCAGTGCGTTCGTTTTTTTCTTTTTCTTTTTCTTTTTTTTTTCTTCTTATCAAAACCACGGCCTCAAAAGTGGGGCCCAGACCGGTACTCGAGAGCAAAATCCTATATAGCCGTTGTTGGACTTACCCAATCACGTATTTCCACGTGTTCCGTTCTATTACCAAAAGTCCGACACGTACCCTAGTTGGTGGTGCCTTTGACTGCCGGCAATGCTCATCGGGGACAGCTAACTTGCGCCGCGAGAACACAGCTAGGGTCTCAGTGGGACCGACGTGGGTCCGGCTGCCGTTGACTTCAGTATCCGTTCCGTCTCCGTGGGCTTCTGGGTATTCATGTACTTTTGTTTTTAGAATTTTAACTAAAAGGATTTATAATTGGGGAAGAATTTCACGCCCAATATTTTGGCTTTTGGCCTGAAAGCTGCGGCACTCTGTATATTTTTAATTACTATTATACCCTTTCTGAATGGTGTTGATATAAATAAATAACTAACAAATTAATACTATCAAGTGATTGATTTAATCAGTTAAAGTTATTCTCTTTAAAAAATAGATTTTCGATTCGAATCCTATCAATAATCATTTGTTAAAATCATCTTTAATGTATAATTTATAATCACCTATCTTAAGCTGTCAGATACGATATATTTTATCCTGACATGAAGAATTGAACAATTTATTTATTTCAGATTTATTTTATAAAAAAAAATCACATATCTTAAACTGTCAGATACTGTATATTTAATTTTGACATGAGATACTGAACAATCTATCTATTTTAAATTTATTTTACCAAAAAAAATTAATAAATTAATCAATTTTACAATTAAATTCAGATATGAATCATTTTCTTTTATAAAATGTAACAGTAAAATTTATGTTAGAAAAGTATGATATTAATTATTAAAAAAACTGAATTAGTTTATTTTTAATAAATTTTTATAATTATTTTTTAAAATAAATTTTAATTTTTTAATTTATATTTAAATAAATTTTTATTTCAAATAAAATCTTAATTTATATTAAGAGATTTTTTGAATGCAAATTAAAAATTAAAGATTTATTTGAACGTAATAAAAGTATAAAAAATTATTTTAATAAAATAATAAAATTTTTAAAAAAATATTATTTTAACTCAATAAAAATGTTCAATAAATACAAATTTTAATTCAATTAATTTATATGTCTATTTTTAAGAGGAAACAATCAAAAAACTTTATGATCAAATCTAATTAATGATATTTTTTTTTATTCTTAAACTACGAGATGTCTTTTATAAAAAAAAAAATGCATGATGGAAACACACACTCCAAATTTCATAAATTTGGATGTGCATAATAATCTTAACCGTTGAAATTTGAGAGCCCTTAAATTATATTTTCTTTCCAAGATTTAAATGACTACTACTAGTATGCAGATGAACAATGTGATAAAATCATGAAGTTTTTACTATATATTATTCATGATATCTTGTTTTTATTTCATATAAAATAAAAAAATATATAAATTATTTAATAATTATAGTTAAGTTCAACAAATATTAATTGGTGACTAATTATGCTAAGGAAACTAATGGTTTCTTTCTTCCCTATTGAGGAGAGCTCTTGCTGATTCTAAAATTGTTCATATATAAATGATAGATGACATGAAATTATTATAGTTACAATCATTGTTAAAACAAAATGTTTGGAATCTCAAAAAATGTTGCATTGACAAATTACGTAATTTTTTTTTTTATAGGCAAGTAATCGTTGCCCATCTCAGCTCGTCATTTCAACAAGCAGTTTATCTACGAAGTTGACAAAATTGCAGAATTAAGAACTGTATAATGGTTTTATTCTTCGGCTGCATGTGGTTTCCAATGTATCCCAGTGGGGCTGCGTTTGTTACGAAAAATTGTACTTAACGCACCGAAAACAAGTTTTTTCCTACAGGAGATTTTAGGTTCAGCCGACAAACGTACAATTATAATTTTTTTTTTTTACATTTTTATCCTTTCAATTTGACTTTTTTTATTTGTTTTATTTTAATTTTAAAAAAATTATAAAATAATTCTAATTTAATATAGTAAAAGTACTATTTAAAATATTATTGTTATTTTTTAACAAAATTATTATTTATCATAAAAAATATTTTTTAAAATTTTTTATTATTTAGTAGTTATTATAAGTTAAATAATTTAAAATTTTTATTAAATATACATTTTAAATCAATGTTCTTATTTATCATTTTTCGTCTCATTATAATTCATCATCATTATTATTAATTTTAATTTTATCACTACAATAATTAATTTTATTTTTATCATTATTTTTAATTTCATTACTATACAATAAAAATGATGAAAAATATATACTAAATTGTCAACATGTACCATTTTATTTTTCCCTTTACCTCTATATTTTTTCTTCTGCTTTTATTTTACTGAGGATAGAGTTAGATTTTCTGAGTTCCTATTTGGTCAAGAAAACTGTCTTTTCCAAGTGTAAACTCATCTTTTGTATCTTAGCTTTAAAGGCAAAATAAAGTTATGATCAGAAACAAAAAATTTCAAACTCACCACACTGAAGATGCATCAAATAAAGTTTTAGTGCAATATGTTCATGAATTATTCTTTTAGTATTACACAGAAACAAGGCAAAAGGAGAGAAAAACAAAAGAATCAAAAAAGCATATATAATCATTAGCAATAAAGTTGGCAAAGCATTAAAAGCAGAGGGTAATTTACAGGAGTTACATCAAGGAATTAATATGTAACCATTTCTACTTTTATTACAAAGTTTTAACTTTAAGATAATATATTTACTTTATCAAAAAAATAAATAAACAAAGCATAGTTTATGAAAGCAGGAAATCTTTTTTTTTTAGCTGTTCCTAAATGGTAAACTCATAAACTGAGAATTTTCATCAATGATCATGATCTCAACACCTTTTCTATATGCATTTGTTTTTTTTTTTTTTTTAAAGAGTAATTGTCCATTTTACACTACACAGATTTATAGTCTAAACATTTTTATAGATTCATCATATAAATATTTAAGTAAATCACTTGAAAGAAAATGAAACAACTGAACTCTAAAAATTTCTTACAAAAATTTGCTTTTTTACCCTCGTTTGGTTGTCTTTGTTGGTCTAATATGCTTTTTAAAAGAGCCGGTTCCTTACAACTAATCAAATCTTCATCCAAATCCTGGTCGGATTCTCCTTCTTTTTTAATCTTCTTTTTTTTTTTTTTTTAAGATTAAGGAATTGAACCAGACAGAAAAACCCTTTAGCCCAGACGTTAATAGACGAGTGTCATTGTGGGAATAAAATCACCATTTGAGGAGAATATATTTGGATTCCAAAACCAGAGCTTCCTGGAAGGTGGAAACCCCACCAACACCCTCAAACGCACCCCTCTTGATAAAGAAATAATGCACTTTGTCTACCCTTTTTCAAATAGTAGTAGTAGGATTCTCAGGGGGAAGGAAAAGTGTTGTTGGGATTTCACAAGCCTTTTTCTTGGCACATGGATTTAAACGCCTTTATCTTTTTGAACCAGATAAAGCAAAGGATAGTAAGAGGCGTAGACAAATGCATTGGGATCTGAGAAGACTGATGAGTGAGGAGATTTAAGGTACGGCATCATTAGAATTTGCCAAACCAACTTTGCTTGTTCTGGTTTTGGCCTGTTTGTTTTAACTTTGCTCTTGTAATGGACTTTGCCAGTGAAAGGAGACGAGATACCGTCAGAGCAAAAAACCTGGTCTTCTCTCAACAAAGTTTAATTCATTTAATTTATACAATTATTTTTAAAAAAATAATATTCATCCAACATTAATCAAATTTAAAATTTAAATCCCCACAGCTATGAATTTTTTATGGCTTTTTTCTTTATTACATACCGTGATCTCATTCATTTAAAAAAAGAGCTTTCTGTCTCCCACCCACGAAAAAGAATAAAAAAATTGTTCTTTGTCTTGTAAACATAGTAGCAACTATTGAAATATTTTGTCTATTTGTTGATAAAAATGTTTGCTTGGACCCTGGAGGGAAGTTTTGGTCTGAATTTCTACCAAACTCAAGGGACCGTTCTCATTCATCCACGAGTCGAGGATTAATCTTTCAAACAACAAACAGTTTAAACAGAGAGTCCCGGAATTATGTTGCAGAGGAAGAGCCCTGTCTCACAAAGTTTAGTGGAGGCTGTGCCCTGTATTTCATGTACGTCACCTATGCCTCGGGTTTCGCACCATAATCAACAAAGTGAATAAGTGATGCATAATTATTGAGACGGGACGTTTCAAACAGATTCTTTTTATCAGTCAGAACTCGGAGTTTGGCAGAAGGATAATCCAAAGCTGCCTACAAATTGACTAGACATTCACACTCCAGTACAGCTGATATACGGTTCTGTGCGAATACTGAAATGAAAACCGATTTTAGCTCTTTTGCAGATTTATTGGGTGAACAGGGTGTCCTGTTTCTTATGGGTAGGCATTATTACTCCATGCCTCGCTTCCGAGTAATGATGTCAAAAGATGCAGATGAAGAACGGTGTGAAATTCAAGGGTCTGCATCCTAGAGAAGCAAAAACAGAGATGGTCCAAATTCCTCACTCCTTTTCCAGAGTTGCTAGTGATGGATTGGGAACTTAAATCCCACTCCAAAAGGGAAAACGTAATGATACTTGTACCATAATCTACAGAAAGTGAATCTGTAATGGAGGGAATCCAGAAAATCATGAATATTTCATCTTAAAATTTTCCTGAAAATTTTGATAATCTGAGCATTTTCAAATCATGTCACAAAATTTCTCCCTAAAATTCACCAGGTGCTATGTTATTTGTTCCAAAACCCTATGTGCCTACCAACAAATCAAGCTGTCTACTGTTTTCTTCCCCTTCCCTTCTTTGCTGGCTGTGCTTCGATCTGTTCTTTACCTGTAATTTCTGACATGTCCACTGCACCGAAAGGAAGAACGCTAACTAGTTAGAACATCCAGATACAAAACCAAACGCACACTGATAAATGATAAAAGAAACTATTAGAAAAATTTGTTCATAACAGTAAATAAACTCCTTGAGACATTGCCAACATCAATTGTACCCATTTGAGAGGGTTTCTTTCCACTGCCTGCTCTTTGGAATCTATCCAATTAGATTCTAGATTTTGGTCTTTCATTGTATGTCAAAAAGAAACTCCATGGCATTTTTTTATCAAAGAGATAATTAATTGCAGGAGTACGGTCGTCCTAGCAAAACTCATTGCCTGCTTAAACAGTAATTTTTATGCACCACCCCCCCTTTTTTCTCGAGGAATATGATGATTTGTGTTTTGCTACATACTGAACATAAATAAGTGGTTTTTATTAGAAAGAAATGAAAAATACTACCATCAGGTCCCCGAGCCATCAAAGTGAAGAATATGTTATTCAGTTTCTCCATCTTCTTGGCCTCCTGTGCTTGATCTGTCTTGAACTTGAGGCACTAATAACACGTAAAATAGTTCATCATGAGCAAACCCAATAGCAAAAAAGAAGCAGGATAACATCAAATCCTGATGTCATAGATTCCCATTCAAAAGTCTCAAAATTACAACTGATCAGTTCTTTTCCTTAAAAAATCTAAAGGCCAAAAAGACAGTAAGAGAAAAAAAAAAACAAGAAACAAAAAACAAAAAAACAAAACAAAACAAAACAATGCATGAGTATCATATTTCGTGAGCAGACATTAGTGGAAAGACATTAGGAGGGAGACAGAAGCAGAAATGAGATTTAATTGTGATCGCTGATGTATCATTCCTAACAAACCGATTATACTAACTTTTATGAGAGATCCCTAGACTGCTTTGGACCTTTGGTCCAGTCCAGAAGCTATTAGCTGCTGATACGTGCAGTTTTCAGTTAGGCTCTTAAACATTCAAACTTGAGATTATTCAAGCAAGATGGGATTCTATCAAATACATCCTTCGTCATCCATGGCCCTAATAGCACGTTGGACCTTAGCACTAAGTTCTAAACCCAAAAACCACACATGATTGGTGTAGGCTTTTCAATTATGCTCTTGTATCACTGAAGCTTTAGATAATCAAGTCAAATTGAATTTAGGATAGATAATTTTCTGCCATCCTCAACTATCAATTTCTCGCTAACCTTTCAAACCCACAAAGCTACAAAGATGTTCTGATAAGAACTGCCAATTATTAACATTACTAACGTCTTCTAAGTCAAAGTGACAAAATAATGACTGATGAAAGTCTTAAAGGAGTTGGTTAATACAGTACCTGACAAGACATGGTATATATCTGCATTTTTTTTTATTTGGAAAAAAAGATATATTTGCTTTTTTTTTTTTTAAGTTTGTCAAATGAAAAGGAAGATAAAAGTTTTTTTACATCGACTGCATCAAGAAAATATAAAGGAATACATAGAAAGTCCACCCAAATAAAAAGTGAAACATATCAAACAGCTGAAGAAAGATATAGGTTCCTGAATCCTGAAAATATGAACTGATCACCCAAGACACATAGGTCAGATAAAACAGACAGGTTTAAAATGTTTATGTAATTCATCACCTTTCAATACATCGTTTCAAGTATAGACTTAAAATTTGTGAGTTAAATAAGTCAGTTTAACACTTCCTGTAAACTTATTTAAACACAACTCAACAGCTCAGTTTTCATGGAAAGCAAGCATAATCAATCATTAAGGAATTTTGAAGATCTCAGAAAAAGGACTTTTTGTCCATATAATAGAAAATTGTCTCAAAACACCAACTGCATCTCTCTTCACCAGTTAATGCTAACCTCATTGAAATGGCTTCCTTAAAGCTCTTTCAATGCAACTGACAAAAAATAGATGAAGGCACTGGCAAGATTAACTCATGCATTATTTCCACTAATGAAACAGTCAAAGGTGATAGTATTTTCTCCAATTTGGGGCCAGAAATGGAAAACAGAATCAGTTTAACCGCTATTTCTGCAGTATACTCTAGAGAACTTCGCTGAAAAAAAGGTAGGAAATTAACAAGACAAGATGTTTATACCAACTTGTTACAAATCAATGCTGGTAGTGGAATGGGCTTATGCAGTGGTAATATGGGCCTAGTAGATTGTTGAAGTGTTTAGCATGTCCGGTCCAACAAATAAAAGAGTTAATTTAAATGTTAGTTAAATTGTTAGCAAACGTTAATTGCAGGATTAGTTATTCCTGCTTAGTCAGAGTCTGTTGGAAGGTATTTCATGGATTATTCACAGTTGTAAGGCAAGCTAATTCATACAGAAAATACAATCCTGAATTCCTTCCTCTATTTCTCTCTCCTTCTCTACTCTTCTTCCTCTTCTACTCTTGTTTTCTTCTTCTGCAACTCTGTTACCAATTCATTTCTTCATCTTTTTCCTCCTGCTTTGATTTGATCATACCATTTGGTATCAGAGCCCAAGATTCTAACAAGGCTAATGATGAGATTATCCAATTGGAGAGGGAAGTCATTTTGCTACGAAAAAAGTTGAAAATTTTGGGGGTGAAACTGCATGACTCTACTGCTCCGCTGAGACAGGAGACGGATGCTCGGTTTGATAAATTTTGGTATGAGATGAAAAAAATGTTTGACAGATTATATCTTGATTAGAGTATAACTCACCGACAGACCAGTCAGTAGAGCTTGGGTCACTCAAGACACACTAGATGTCAGTTGTTGGATCAACTATATCAGAGAAAACCAATGAACCAGAGCAACAGCTGGAGGTCCAAGAGCTAGATAGCCAAGTGAACAATTGTAAGTTACTGGATGATTGTAATGATAATTCCATTGTTGGGTATTTAATGGCTGGTACATTCTATGCTGTTCCTAGCTATTCTGTTAGAATGTTTTATGCTTGTTACAATCCACGTTTACTTAAAGAAAAAATGGTTTCATTAGAGAATGGTACATTGTTCTTGTTTGATCTAAAGTCTGATGTTACCTGTCAAAAGCCCAATGGCTTTATTAAAGGAAATGAATTGAGAGTTTTATGGAATGATTCAAGTGGTTCAGAGAATTGTAAACAGCTAAGTATTGAGTTCAGTTGGTATCATAAGATTTTGATTGTTGCCCGATTAGATGTTGTCTTTTCTGTTGATCTTAAGCTTGAGCAGTGTAATGCGATTTGTTTAAATAAGGTTGAAATGTTGAGATCATATGCTGTGGGTGGAAAGAATCAGTTCTTAGCATTTCTTGGAGCTATTGCAAGTCTACAATTGCTGCTGCTGGGTGGAATTAGTCCACGACCTTACCTGCTTTCTTTGGGAATGTTTATACCTACTATTAATGGACAAGGTTATATGCTGAAAGTTGTTCAAAGGTTGAAAGAAGATATAATGCTAATTTATCTGAAGAGTTTAGCTGGGACACCGATCTGACAAAGGATATTTGGTGTTTTGGCCCTGAAACCACTGGTCCTAACTTAGTTGTTGATGTGTTTAAAAAAATTCAGTATCTTAATGAACTTAAGAGTTCTACTGTGGTGGGGTTACGGTGGGTGTTGCAGGAAGGTACGATGACTGAGGAGAACATGAGGAGTATCTGCTTTGAAGTCTATAATATGGTTCTTCATGATAATGCCACCAACAGAGGTGGTGGTCAGATTATTTCCACTGTTAGAAGGGTTTTCTATGTTTTTCACCTTACAGCCAAGTAGCCAACCCAAGTCTTCTTGAGACTATTTATTTGGTAGAGATCCAAGCCTTTGAAAAGGCAGTTGGTGATATTTATAGTGTTCTTAACCTGAAAGATAGACATAAATTATATTTGGAATGGGTTGTCCATTCTTTTAGAATCAACGGTGGTATTCTGTTCCTATTTCAAGTAGCTGCTAGTGACAAGTGTGCAGTCGACATTTGAGCTGACACAATTGATGTTGTAAATGTTCTGCTGAATAATAATGGATTTTTAAGGAGACAGCTAATGCTCTCGAAATGACTATGAACAAGAAGGATGCTAAGGGCAAGATACTATTCTCTTTATTGTCAACATTCTCTGTTCTGCTCAAGTAAACACAGCAGGGTCTGTCCTTTATCAACCAACCTTGGCTGCTGATTTTGGAGGTCTTCAAGAGAGTATTACCACAGCAATCTTTGCTCATTTGGAGATCACAACTATGTTGTTGAGACAGATCTTTGGGCTTGGTTTTGATCTTGCTGCGGATACCTTGGGTTCTACATCTGGTATGCTCTTCCTTTTATCTTTGTTTTGAGGAATATTATGATATTACTAATGGTGTAAAGAAGATTCTCCAAAACTATAAGAACTAGCAAGATATTATTTTCAGTATGGGTACAGATGAGTTTAGTGAAAATGATAACTGTCCTGTAACCTTTATCCATATTAGTAGCAATCCAACACACATGTCCTATATTCATGGTGATTCTAAAGTGGGAGAAATTGGCAGATATCCACAGGCATGGGAAGCAGTGATTTGGCTTTTATTTAAATATGGCTAGAAACAGAATGAAGCATCAGACTGTCGAGCACAAATCAGACAGAGAGTTTGACATGGAGAATTATGTGTACAGCGAGCTTCCATCTTATAGGCAGATGTCTGTTGTAAACAGATCATGCTTGAAGCTTGCTGCTAAATCTTGGGCCCTTTCGAGGTGTAGGAAAAAGTTGGACTTCTGGTTTACAGGTTGGAGTTACCAGCAAATACTCTCATGTACCCATTGTTTCATGTATCACAGTGGAAAAGGCACGGGGACAAGAGCCAACACAGTTCCAGCTTCTTATGGTGGATAGTAATGGAACCTTGGTCAAGGAACCTATCACCATTCTAGCCAGAAGGATGAACAAGAAGAGAGAGGATGCAGCTTGGAGTTATTACATGAATTACAGAAGAAATATTCTGCTTATGATCCTTGAGGACAAGGATCTTCCCAAGGAAGGGGTGTTTGTTACAAGCTGGAATTGATGCTGGTAGTGGAATGGGCTTATGCTAGTAGTAATATAGGCCTAGTGGATTGTTGGAGTGTTTAGCAAGTCCGGCCCAATAAATAAAAGAGTTAATTTAAATGTTAGTTAAATTGTTAGTAAACGCTAATTGCAGGATTAGTTATTCCTTCTTAAGCCAGAGTCCATTGGAGGGTATTTCATGGACTGATTCACGGTTGTAAGGCAAGCTAATTCATACAGAAAATACAATTTTGAATTCCTTCTTCTATTTCTCTCTCCTTCTCTACTCTTCTTCCTCTTCCACTCTTGTTTTCTTCTTCGGCAACTTCGTTACAGATTCATTCTGTCATCTTTTTCCTCCCGCTTCGATTTAATCGTACCATTACCAAGGGGTTACGCAAACCAGGTTCATAAGCTATTTCAAGAAACCTAGGTCTTCCATTATCTATGATCAAGAGTTTTCTATTTCCCTTAACAACATGTCATCAAAGTTCTTAGCCTCTATTCGAATGGAACAGTAATAATCCAAACAGTTAACAGAAAAGTAATGTTTTGCCCTAAAACTTCTTCAAAAACTGAGAAACAAATAAAGCAACAGAAAATAGAAAAAGGAAATAATTGCTGCAATTCCATCAAGAAAGCTAAAATGGATACAATCTCAAGTACATTCCACATGATGCATATGTGTAAATCCACTCAAGGTAAACAGACCGTCAAATTCTCACACATTTTCTTAATTAATCCCAAATCTAACCTAATTCTTCGGAAATAAACATCAATTACCACCTTCACATGACAATTGATTCAATCAAAGTCAATAATCTAAGCAATTAGGGAATGTAATTCATACCTCTTTGTTATCAGTAACCTTCAAAACCAATTTGCCATCGCAATGCCGGTACTTCATGCAATACCGCGTCTAGGTCCCCCCGATCCAAATCCAGAAAAAATAGACCCCAAACAAAAGTCAGTAACAGTCATAACTGATATTTTGCAAACCCTAACTGCGCTAATTAGACCAAAATTTCCAATTATATAATAACAATGACAATAATAAGAGTGGAAGGTAGAGAAAAAGAGGGAGAGTAAAGTTAAATACCGATTCAGGATCGGCACGGAACAACTGTACTGTTCGCTCAACGAATTCGTCCCACGATGTTATGTAAACCATTGCGCCTTCAATCAAAGAAGAACCGAATTTTGATGAGAATCTGCAAACGGAGCGTTGTCACACTCGAGGCGAAGCTAGTTTATCATCGATTTTTTTATTTTTTTGCCAGGGGAATTTATGACGGATTTTATGTACTAAAAATATTACGGTCAAAGGTCATCCTTAAACCAATAGAAGCTCGCCACGACAGCCCAAAAAAAAAAAAGCGTAAGTGCGGGACAGACTTTAATTTGGTGTGGCCTGGCAACCACCCCAGGCCGAGAAAATCACAAAACGCTGCCGTTTTATACTAACACCCATATTCTAGTTATCATGTTGAATTAACTTATTAGATTGGTTATGCTTTTTGTTCGAGTGTCGCATTGGGTTGTTCAATCATGACTTTGCCATTGATCAGTTGTAATTGAAATATCTTGTAGATGACAATACGTTTCTTTGCATACTTATTATTTTTTGCATCATATTTACTAAAATGGTAGACATGATGGTTGAGCGGCTACAATTGTTTGGATTTGTGGGTATGAAGTTGGGATTTGAGGACAGTACAAAATAATCCCATACTTTTTGTGTGAGGCCGAGTAGATGCGAATGTGATTTTGGTGAAGTAATTGTATATTCAATTAATTTATATAATTATTTTTTAAAAATAATATTTAATAAATTTAAAGTTTTAATTCAACATTTATAATTTATTTTTCTATTCTCTAAGGGAACTACAAAAAATAATTTTCATTTGACCCTTTTTCTTCGTATAATGAATATAAAAAACAATGATTTTCCTTTTGACCGAAGCTTTCGATTCAATGAATTTTACTTAATTTGTTGAAATTCTTTATAATTCCATGGTTTTTATTTTGGGTTCTCAAAGTAGTGTTGAATTGAAGTTTAATTTAGACACTAAATTTCATCGTTACACTATTCAATTAATTATTATGGTTTTAATTTCTATTATTATATTTAGTGAAAATTAAATGAGTTTTGAAGATGTAGGATAAAATTCAGCATAATTTATTTTTAATATTTTTTGAAATTCCTTAATAATAATAATAATAATAATAATAATGATAATGATTCGGTTTTGTGGGGGGAAATTCATCTTAAAATGAGGTTAGGTTGCTAGAAACGTGCCTTAAAATTAGGATGTTAATAGTAATGAAGGCCAGCCAGACAACATGGAAAGTGGGGACCCTTTGAATTAATGGAAAATTTTTATTTAAAATTCTTATTCTATTTAATTAATTAATATTTCATTTTCAAGCTTAGTTTTCTTCTTAAAACGTGTAAAAACTTTTTTTTTTTGTCAATAAAGCTTTTTCGTTTTTTAAAAGAAAAGATAACGTGTAAAACCAATGCCTAAATTTGTTTTTTTCACTTTTTTTTTTTTTTTGTTCTTTGAACAGATTGTTTTTTCCTAAATTAATTTTCTAGAATTTGCATTTCTCAATGAAAATATTTTTTTATTAACAATAGAGAAATTAATTTGCAAATAGACCAAAATTTGATAATGTAAGTTCAATGAATAGTGGTTTTGTTTATAATATTTTAAAAAATGTCATAATCTCATAATTTAATTATAATAATATACTTGTATACTATTAATATGCTATTTTCCTTTTTTTAATATTTGAAAATTCAGTGTAACTTAATCTTGTTAATATTATATATATTTTTGAAATATGATTAATATGATATTTAAAAATATGTATTTAATGTATTATTTTCTCTTAAATTTAGTGAAAATAATGCATTAAATATAAAAATATTTTTTATATACTAATTAGATTTTGTTAATGAATATCTTAGATATATTTAAGGTTATTTAAGTTTTTATTTTTAATAATATTTTTTTAATAAATACAATAATTAATAGTTAATAATCTTTAAAAAATAGTAATAACGAACCCATAAATAATAATGCCAATTAATTATTAACACAGAAATAAATGAATAATAATAATGATTGTAGTAGATTGAATGTGAAGATTCAAGGAAACGCTGCCGTTAGGAGATCCCATGGGAATCGAAAATATAAATAAATAAATAAATAACCGTCACGTGTTAACTCTCGAAGCGGTTTCTGTCTCGCTTTAGTTCTCCTTGCTCGCGAAGCTCGAAAATTAGCTTAAGATTCTCTTTCTCTCTCTCCCTCTCTCTCTCGCTCGAATCAGATTCTTTGGCACCAACAATGACCTCGCAATCCCCGCCCACAACCGCGTTCTTCACACGCGCCACCATGTCAACCTTCACGCGCCGCCCATGGCGCGAGTTCCTCTCGCTCTCATCCATAGCCCGCCCCATCTCCTTCGGCGACGCCACGGCCCGTATGAAGCGGAACCTCTACTACTTCCGCGTGAACTACGCCATGATAATCCTGGTAATCCTCTTCCTCAGCCTCCTATGGCATCCAATCTCCATGATCGTCTTCTTGGTCGTCTTCATCGCCTGGTTCTTCCTCTACTTCTTCCGCGACGATCCCCTGGTCATTCTCAACCGCACGATTGACGACCGCCTCGTGCTGGCAATCCTATCCGTAATTACGATTGTAGCCCTGGTTCTGACAGACGTTTGGTTGAACGTGTTGGTCTCCGTTTTGATTGGGGTTTTTATCGTGGGACTACACGCTGCGCTTAGGGGAACAGAGGATTTGTACTCGGGCGAACCGGACGGTAGCGATGGTGGGCTGTTTTCGGTCGTGGGCGGCAGCCCCACCCGAGCCGGGTACTCCCGCGTTTAAATCCAAATTATCGATTTAACAGTGAATTGATTCTTTGCTTGAAGTGCTGAAATTTTTTTTCTTTATGGGTTTTTTTTTTTTTTTTTTTTACTTTTAATTAATGTTAATGTGTTTGTAAATTTTGTAATGTGAATTGTTAAGTTTTGATAATTACTTAAAAAATTAAATGTTATTTTCTGGGTTTAGGATTTGGATTTATGTCTTAGCTTTTGTCTTTGTCTGAAGTATTAAATGTTCGGATTCGTGGGTGTATTCATTGAAGCCAAACTTAGTAGGTGGGAGGATGGAATAGTTAAATCTGAATTTGCTAACTGCATTTTCGAGATTGTAATTTGAACAAACACCCCATAGGCATAGTCATAGATGTTTTTGACGTATTAAGATGACTGTAAGAACAGAATGGTGCTTGTCAATGACCAATATAACGGTCGCCATGAGTAGTTGTTCCAGCGATGAGAGGGTTTATTATTCAAAGTTGTGTATGCATCCACATGGTTAGATGGCCAAACACCCCCATAGGCATAGTCATAGATGTTTTTGATGTATGAAGATGACTGTAAGAACAAGAATGGTCCTTGTCAATGACCAATATAACAGTCGCCATGAGTAGTTGTTCCAGCGATGAAAGGGTTTATTAGTCTAAAGCTGTCTATCCATCCACATGGTTAGATGGCCCTCTCCCTTTCCAGTGTCCATTAGGTGTTTTCTTTCTTTTCTTTTGCTTTGCTTTGCTTTGCTTTGCTTTATATGGGTCAAAGGAGCCCCAAAAGTTGTCATTCTTTGTCTGTGGAAGTGTGGAACTGGAATATAGAATGTCATCTCCTAGAAATTTTATGGTTTGATTTGAATGCCATTGACATTGAGTTCTGCATGCATGGTGTTATAAATTCCTCCCCCTACAGATATTTTGCTCAATAGATAGCAAAGATTTGTGGTTTGTCTTTTGTCCTAAATGGGATTTTGCCAAAGTTCCTCCAAGTCAGGTTTTCGGTCTTTATCAATTTTTTTCCCATCCGAGTCTTTTCGTTTTGTATAAAATCCTAGTTCGAAATTAAGAAAGAGGTTACAATTATCGAGTTTTAAATTTATTGGATATCATTTTTTAAAAATAACTCTACAATTCAATTAAACTAAATAATCATCTGAGCCTTTTCAAGAGGCTTTGGTGTTGGTTTGTAAGCTCTTTAATGTCTTTTCAAGAGGCTTTATTGTTGGTTTGTAAGCTCTGTAAAAGATTCGAAATCTGACCAGATCTTAGCTACTTCTGGTTCCTTAAGCTTCAGTGCTTTTAACCGCAAAATGCAATCCTTGCACGATCCTTGACGAATCTAAACCCAAAATCTTGAAATAAGGAAATCATGCCTTGAGAATTTAACCAAATCACATTCTCTTTTTCCTTGAGACCCAGCTGGGCACACTCAAATTAAAAACATGCTCCCAGGTTTTTGGGTGGACTCGAATTTACTGACATCCCATCATGCGTGGGAATTGTTAGATTCACATAACGCAGTGTAATGCTGACGCAGTTCATCATTGGTCGCAAGTCTTAAAATCCCGACCTGTGCGTTCAAGAAAAAAAGAATCTTGAAAGCAAAGGATTCTGTTCGGATGGAAAGTGAGAAAATTTTACGTCAAACTAATCGAAAACAATGAAAAGATCCACAAGTTGTAACGGTAAATTGATAATACAATCTGCCCTAGCAAGCTCGATGTCATGATTTCAAACAACGTGTCAATGCCGCATACACTGTTCTATTCGAAGGAAGAGAATGAAAGAGACTATTGTAGAAGAACCAACTCACTGGATAGATGCTTTTATATAAAAAAAACATGCCGGATCAAAATGTCCTATTCTATAACCAAAGAGATTCGAATAAAGGATATATGCATAGATTATTGATGTGGTGAGGAAAGAATGAAAGAAAGCATTATTATTGATCTGGGACTTTTCGAGCATATGCCAACACCATAACAAAATCCTTTGCAGAAGAACCAACAGATGCTGGTACTCGCTGTGATGTCGATGCTGTTTGCAGCCACAAATCAACTAAAGTATACAACTGCAACGTGGGAACCACAGGTTGCCCCATACATTTGATCTCAACCTGCCAGAAAAAATAACAAAATGTAATAAAGACAATTCACCTTGTTCAACATCAATAATTACCAAAGGTAGTGAGACAATGTCTGTTCTAGTGACAAGTGAAGTTTAAACTACTACTTCAGTTCATTTGCCTACCTATTTTCTTATCCTTCAGTCGTTTCAGAAATTCTCACAGAATGAATGCAATTTAGCTAAATCAGTAGAATTTATCAAAGAGGATAGTACTTCAGCAGGCTTTAGAAAGATGCGGATCCCATCAAAAAGATGGTTATATAATTCAATTCAACTGTTCGACTGTTCTTCACTGGTTTCAAAAGCAAACTTGACAGCATTTTAGAGTTTGCTGCGATTGATTTGTCACAGATTGGGATGAAAGCACACTTTTTCTCACATTTAGTTGAAAACTTGAGGCAGTCACACTTCTTAAACTTTAAATTATTCGTAGTTTATGAGGAAAGGAAACTCAACCACAGTAAATTGATATGATGATTCAGTGCAAACAACAAGCGAACAAGTAAATTCTAGTAGTTAAATGAAGATAGACTTCTAGCACTGACACGTAAAAATTTGAAAAGATAGTTGTGAAAATGGTTCAGGTAATGAGGAGTCTGGATTGGTTATACATGCATACGCCTGTCCCATATGCCATACTTTCAACAAAGTGGAGAATAAGGCTTGGAACTCTTCTTTTCTAACCAAATTCAAAATATCCATGCATAGATTATCATACGAATAAAGCATAACATTTTAGAACTGAGCCTGATTGAAAAAATAGACATTGAAAAACCAAAAGCCAAAAACTTTTTGGCCAAATTTCTTCTTTGTGTATCATTAAAGAACATTCAACGAGAGATAACTCACCTCAGCTTCTTCAGTAAGGTCCAATTTCTTCATCAGGTATTTTTGGATAAAAGAAACAGGTATATTTCCATCCCTGTCACAGAATGAAAGAAGTATGATAACTATTTCTTCCGATAAAAGAAATTTTTAATAATAATCATCTATGAATCATTCTACCATTTCAGAAGTCAGAGATAAATTCAACTTTTAGGTTTTTCTGGCATCAATTAATAAAGAAACACTTGAATCAAAATGGTTATGGAACCATCTTAAGTGACACTGAGAAAGAACTATAATTTGGTATACACATCGAAGTGAAAACATGGTCATTAACCCATATGGCTGATCCAAAATGTAAACTTGGAATGCAGTAAATTGAAGAAAAAAAAGCACAAAAACATGCAGGAGTAAGTTGTAAAAAATGGATAGAAATGGTTTAGCTAGTTATAACAGTTCAAACCACTTAAAGAGAAAAATAGTCAAATTAACAAGGTTAATTGGCAGAAGAAATAAAATTGCAGTTTTTTTAGCACTCATCTCACTGTTAAACAGGTCATTCAGGAGATAACTATTTACCAAGTCAGCTTTTTCAGTTTTCAAACTGAATGTATAGTCTCTAGCATGACCACAGAAACTGTACTCAGCTTGTGGTCTTGTCATGGTTGCTTAACGATCCAATATGGAATCTAACATAAAGTTGGTTAAAGATAAGTCTTCACAGTATAGCAACTTACCAGCGAATAGAAATTGGGATCATAGTGCCCTATGTTTATTTCACCATCACATACCTGATAACTTAAGATAAGATCTAGGCAACAATTTCCAGAAGGCAATTCCCAAATGATTTAGGTTGAAGTATAAATTGAGAGTAAATGGCCGTAATGTCATAAAATAATCCACCAAGTAAAATAAACACCTTTCAGTGGATAGGAGCTGGATTAACAATAGGAAGTGACTAGAGAGACCTTTTTCATATAAAACAATCTAAAACTGAAGTGATTCTACTCCAACCATTATTTGTCTTACCACACCTTTACACGCATTTAGCCTTTTTATCCTAAGCTTACAACATCTTTATATAAACTTTAACACACACGGGCCAAATGCTTTCTTGAACTTGTTGATGAACATTAAAATTACCGAAGATGAATAACAAAAACCCGTATAAACAGCTGACAGTTGCTTAATAATAATGCTTGTTGGTCTCATCAGTACTTTATTCCTATTTATACTCTGGATCAAACCTGATTTCTAGCCTTCTTATCTTATTACTGCTGTTTATAAGCATCAGTAGCCATAAAATTTGGTGGTACTCACTATATCAGGTCCACTAGTTAAATCTTTACTGAAAGCAAGGCATAAACAGTTGTAAGTCATCCTGTAAGCGTTTCAATACATAATTGGTGGAAGTAACTTAAGCCTGTGATCCACTGATTGCCCATATATCATTAAAAAAATTCTGCAGCTACCATAGCCCCTGCTTCCTCAAGTGAAATTGCTTCCTCAGAAGACTGCCAAGATATTAGTATCTTTGCCTTGTCTCATCTCCACCCGCTCTCACAGTCCATTAACCATTTCCTTTATACTCCAAGTTATCTGTTACCTTATAAATTCCAGCATATAATATTTATTAAATTCCTTTAACAGTCTCTAAATTGGTAACAACCCACATGTCTGTTCTCTTTTCCGTATGCTAAGCCAAATACTAGGAGATTTATGGTACAGAAAAACAGGATGGATGACAGGCCAGAATCATGGTGCTAACAACTAACAAGCAACATATGGAATTTATGATCTTCAGCAAAAGGAGGAAGAATATATAGCAAGCTATTGTAAGACTCATGCAAAAGGAATTTCCAAAACGAACTTACTTTATCCTTAAGTAATTTGCAGGAATTTGAGGAAGGGGTGCATCTCCTTCCCTGAAAGCATTGACATTTGAATCAGTTTATGATCAAGACAAAATAATCTTAAGATAAACTCTGGTTTCAATCCATTAAAGTTTGAAGGATGCAATCAACTCTTACTGGTCTTCAGAGGCCACTAATGAGAACCAAACAGGACCAATTCTTCTTTCATGCTTTGGACCTGCAGCATCTAGCACAGCTTGTGGAGAAAAGCCAGAATCCCCAAATCCAGAAGCCCTTTTTCGACGAATCCTGCGTAACATTTTAGGAGTTACAGTTTCTGAAGTTGCAGGACCAATACTCTCCTTTTCATCCTCAACTTTATTTTTGCATTTGTCTTCCCTATTTTTGGTTTTGGACATTTGAGCTTCAATGTTGGTGATATTAGTAGCTTCTAATTTAGAATCAGAGCCTTGTGGATTAGACTTGAAGGACTTGGTCCTATTTGCAACCTCCACCAAACAATTCAAAGGTTTCCAGAGGTCCAATTTTCCATCCCATGATGCGCCACCATTCTCTGCTTCTTTATTCGTGTGTTGGCTAGGTTCAGCAGAAGAAGTACACTGTGTTCAATTTTTATAGATGAGAGAAATTATCAGACTACACTAAAACATTAATAATTTTCAAGTAAATGGATGTTTGAGAAAAGAGAGAACTATTTAAACAATATTGGACCCTATGAGAACAAAAGTCTGACAACTTAAAAAATATGAAGGCTTCCTTTACCTGTCTTTTATTCTGAGTGAATTTATTTAGCGTTTCAGGTGAGCTTGCACTCTCCTGGTGATCCTCCATAGAGTCCTCATCTCTTTTAACAGGCTTCTCTACTGAAAAACTAGAACCTCGTAAAGTACCAGACTTTCTGGCAACAGCTTTTGTTCTCCTTCCAGTCATGGTAGTTTGTGTTGATACTTTGGGGGCATTAACAACCAACGAGGAGAGTGATCTCTCCTTTCTTCTAGTTGGCACTGTAACTGGGAGCACAATTTCAGGCGCCCTCACTTTTCTTCTTTTAAGAGGGAAGACTTTGGCCCTTACATCTTGCAGACTATGGTCAGGCCTGAATACCAAAAGCACAAATGAAGCTCAAACATATTAATTTTTTCAAAATTTCGATTAACCAACATTAAGCATGTGTGTGGATGATCAACCAAGGAAGATACAAAAAGATTATTTAGGAAAGCCAAAAGCTGCGTGCAATAACCTGAATCCACCCAGTATAAGGATGTTTTCCACTTCAAAATATTTGACCTTGATTTTGACATGGAGATATTCACAATCCTAACAAAGCAATGAGTTCTTACATTTGCATAACAATGCTAGATTCTGCCTAGAAATTTTACTTGAAATTGGCTAAGTTACATATATTAGCCAAATCACTTGGAAAAACGGGGAAACAAGCAATGTTGGCTGCTTCTAAAGATATCCATGCTTTTCTATCTTCTTCCAAAAACTTGGTAAACATTAACTTCAAAAAGATTCATTATTAATCCTCCAAATTTCTACTGTTTCCTCCACAAAATTTTTATTGCTTGCCTTTAAATCTGAAATTTATAGCGCCAGTGAGAAGATGAATGGCATGTAGGAGAAGCCACTATCAGAGCTCAAAAGGATGGAATGACTAATGATCCTAAGGCATTCAGAAGAAATCAGAAAACTTTGCCAGTAACCACTTCAAACAAGTAGATATCGTCTGGAGTATTTGACAAGATTAAAACTAGTGGTAATTACTTTACATGTCAAAAAAAATTGTGACATGAAGGCTGCAATTAACAGATGAGTTATGACTTATGACTATATAAGGGACAAAGAGAAGATGGTATAGGAGCATAATATGTAAATGAAGGATACCTTAATTTCTCCAGAGGAACACAACCCAAATCAATGTTGCATATTGGACAGCATTCTAGTTCTTCCTCTTGTATCTTATCATATATGCACTTTCTGCAAACTACATAAAATTCAACAGACAAAATCTTACATAAATTTCCATTTAACAGACTTACAAGGCATTGAAATAAAGATCACACGCATCAATCATAGAAAAGATTTTAATTGGAAACAAGCTGAGAAAGTGAAGCAATTGAAACTCGTCTGTAACTTGGAAAAGAGGTTGGTTCCATTCCATTTCAAAAACTGGAAAACGATCTTAAAGTTTGAATCTTGTTATGGACTTGCAAAACAAATGAGGAAAGCTCCAATCTTGGAAACCACCCTTGAATTGGAAGTAAAGTATATGATAGTAAGAAGCCTTAACTTAATATGGAAAACGATAACTGGGTGCAATGAATCTTAAACAAACGGATTCATAATAGAATAAACAGAAGTCATGTATGAATACATTGAAAATCCACTCCCAAATAATCAAACTGTATTGCCAAAAGTAGTTACTATACCATACATCAACAAAGCAATATAACTGCTTCCCTCTCGTTTTATTAAACTAATCCGTACGCATTAATCTTATATCAACATATTTTTCTACCGACAGCCTTACCATCAACTGGTAAGAAAAAGAGGGAAATGGAATAAAACAGCAATACCGTATTAAGGCTAGTAATAGAAACATTAAGGGAACAAGTCAACAGAGAGGGTAAGAAGCGAGACCAAGAAAAACCCAGATAAGAAAACGGGGAAAACAAGAACAACCCAGATTAAAAGAGGAGCAGAACGCAAAGAAAAAACTGAAAATTTGAAGAATTAAGAACAAATGAGCTAGAAAAAGGAACGAAATTTGAAAGAAAAAAAGAGAGAAATCTCAGGAGAGACTCACACGTGTGAAGACATTCAGATATGGTGGTGGCATCTCTCAGAAGCTTATTGCAAAGAGGACAAGTCATGCATACCGCAATCGCTTCTCTCCTCACCTTCACAACCTGATTCGCCATCTCCCTCCCCTTTCTCTTTCAATCTCAATAACTCGTTGCACGTATGCTCCCTCTCACTGCATGTCAACGACAAGCAAAAAGCAACGGAATATTTACGTGCATATCTTCATAAAAACCTGCATTAAAACCCATGACAGAAATACCACTAAGAAGAAGGATTATAAACAGAGAGGTCGATAGGAAACGGGAACGGAAGCTAAGAGCTATGGGGGCTCATATGGGGAATGTTAATCTGATCTGAAAGGAAAGGAAAGGAAAAGGGAAAGAGTATGGGATAAGACAACGTTGATTTTCGACGTGGATTTTTCGGACAGAGAAGAAGAAATGGGGGCGTCGTTGAGGAGAGAAACGCAACAATGATCTGAATCTAAAAATAATAAATAGAGAGAGAAGGAAAAGACTAAAGAGGGTGTCGTCCAAGGGGGCATGAACCGAGAGTTTCCTTTGTCTTTATGTATTTTCTTTCTTATTTTTATTTATAATTTATATTCTACTAATAATAATAATATTAGTAATAAAAATATATAATATTTTTTAGTAAATATTTAAGACAAGTTTAATGTAGAAGGGCTCCAATTAGGATTTGGAATTTTGGATCGGTGGTGACTTTCCCTTGCGAACGACAGAGAAGGCTGTACCCTAAGGAAGAACGGACCTCTAGGCTCCATACTAAACGACGTCGTTTTTAGTGGTTAGTAGTACACTATTTAATGCTTGTACACTTATCTTAAAGAGTTTGATATAAATTTTAGAGTATAGTCATAAAATATTTATTGAAAAATAAGATAAATTTATTTCAATCGATTTTAAAAAAATATAGAGTGAAATTTAAAAATTGTTTATCATTAAAAAGAATAAAAGCATTTATATGGGTAAAAACAAGATATGAATTTACATAAAATCAATTCAAGAATTTAAAAGAATTTGAATTTTAAAATTTTTTTATCACTCAAAAAAAAAAACAAAGTAAAAGCATTTATATGGGTAAAAACAATAAATGATCGAAGTAAATTTATGAATTTACATTTAAAAAAAAAAAACAATTGAAGAATTTAAAAGAACTTGGTTTGGTGTCATTATAGTATGAAAATGTCAAAGGAAACATGCTTCATGTCTTGTTAAATAAAACCAAACATGTGTCATGCTTCTATTTAACCCGGGGTGACATTAAAGATTCATTTTTTTTTTCTCCCTCTACTTATAGCTAGTTAGAGGTTTGATTCACTCTTGAAAAAAAGATGCTTCCCACTGTATAGTCACATGACATTTTTAAAGACACAAACACAAATAATATCATAAACAACAAATTTAAAAGCTCATTAGTACACTGTCAAATTGCAAATAAATTTTGGAACACGTTATAGCAATTAGGTTATTAACAAGGTAACATTGCATCCGCGTAAAATGGGTAAGGTTTAGATTTCAATCATTCTCCTTCGCATAAATCCATTATTACCCATTAAAAAAAGAAAGCTTCTTTTTTTTTTTTTTAATTAGTAAAAAGGAAAAACTTTTATTATTTTGGGAAGAAAAATAGAACATCGACATCTGCATCTTGAACCAGGATTTAGTAGATTTAATAATTTTAATATAATTAAATTTTAATAAAAATAAAAAATATGTTTCATATTTGATATATTTACATAAATTATATTCTCTCTATTTCATTTTTTATCTGTCTTTCTGTTTTGGGATATTCTAAAGTTTATGTCTTGAAAATATAAATTTCTTTTTTTATATATATTTTTTATTTTTTAATATTAAAAATCATAAATTTTTTATTTTATAAAAAAATTAATTTTAATATTAAATATATTAAAATCAAAGCTTTTTTTTTAATTCTATGAAAGTTAATACAAAACAAACAAATTAAAATGAAATGAGTACGTATTGATACAAAATAAATATAATATATATAAATTATCAAATTTAAGAATAAGGTTTAAAATATGAAAAAAAAAATTTAAAGGTTTTTCTAAGAAAATAAGGAGGAGAAAAATGAAAGCTCGGTAACGATCTGTATACGATTGTTGTTATTTGTAAACTTAACATGCACGGCATAATGGTACGAGGCAAAGCTACTTGGGAAATGACGAGAAAAGGGAGAAAGCAGAGATGTTTTATTCTGTCCACACTAAAAGTAAGGATAAGGCAGAGAGGCTTGCAGTCCCAGAAATCTTGTTAGAATTTTGTTGGAGTCAAAAAGGCATCATAGCCAACTTTGCTTGGTAGGCTCTCGTTTTCCATTATATCTAATCCACCGTGTGGAGCCCAACGAAATGACTATTTTCTTGGAACCTCATATCAAATCCTCATGGTAAAGCAATGGCAGTAACAGTAATTCCCCATAGAAGCTTTTTCTATCAAATGAATCATATTTCGTGAATTTGAAATTTAATTTTATAGATTTATGCAGTTATAATATATAATCAATTCGAGATTTAAATTTTACTATCTATATATATATTTTTGTTGTCATATTGTGATAACTTTTATGAAAGAAAATCAAGCATTTTCTGTTTAAATTTTGAAATCCAGACTTTGAAAATAAAAATTTAAATTTGAAACTGATGTTTTCTAAAGAGTACGAGATATAATGGAAGTAGGAAGTCATCTTTTCAGAAAAATAAATGCATGCTTCTACTTACCATTTTTAATAAGCCAGCCAGCCAGCCTGCAATGCTATTATATGTCATGGAAGGTGGGAAAACCTGAGAGTTCTTTGAGAAAAAATGATAAATCATGATAGCAGTAATTGATGGGTGGCGTGCTCCCCGCCTGCCTTCCAAGAATACGTAACGCAACACTAGGTCTGCCTAATTCCTCTACAATAGTTTTGAGCTGGCCAAAGGACACCTTATTTAAAAAAATGAACCACAAATAGCTTCAAACAACATTTGCAATATTATCTTATATGGGAATAGTTCTCACCAACTACTTTGCTGCCTACTTTCATAAATATATATATATATATATGCCAACACAATGATACTTGATAACTTTTTTGTTTCAATAGGAAGACCCCCAATGGACCATATTGTCCAAAAGGCATTGATAATAATAACAATATAACATGCAGTTGTTCACCTGACATTGGCAGCTGAATCATAACCAGGTTTGCACCAAGATATGGTAAGGAATTCATTTTAGTTTTAATTCTGACGCGTCTCTTCAAGCTTTACCCTGATGTACCCCGGACTGATTCTAGGAATATGCACTTCAAGACCCAACAAGACCGTTGTGCCTCGCGTAGGAAATTATTGAGGTGAAAGTCGAAATGCATAGTATTCCGGTGAGGGTGACAACCTAAGATCCAAAGCATATGCAAAAGTAATACCTTGGAAAACAAACAAACAAACCCATAGGTTAAATTTTCTTGGCAAATGTAATAGTTTCTTCTGGTGTATACTGTGGTGATCATACGGGACATACCCATTTAAACATGTATCCATGGCCTTCTTTCCATGTATAGGGAATATTCATTCCAAACATTGCAGCAACCAAAGAATATATAGACAAACAAACAGTCCCAGCACTTAGGAAGAGCCCTAGCTGCCACATACAGTGAAAACATATTAATATGACGCATGCAGAAAACTAAATTTAGGCCATTCAACAACGACAGAGATACAGAAGCACCTGAATTAGCTGATTTCGATGATTGTCAAGCTGCGAGAGAATGCATTTAGATTATCAAGATCTCATACTTACTAGGTCATGATACTTGAAGGTGTTAAATTGCGTGGAGAATTTTGATAACTACAGCAAACTTCCAAGCTCCTATTTTAGAGCAAGATTGTAAAGTAAATGGGACATTCAGACATATCCCTGAACTATCAAAACCCTCCTCAGCAATTTTTCCACCTTAATATCGTTTCCAATATAAATTTCTTTATCTAATCACCTGGATATTTATATAATCCTCTGTGTCATCAATGTATTCACGGAGCTGGAGAGAAAAAGAATAAGTATGCAACAATAGTTATGGAATTAGATCTAGAAGTTAACATGAAAAGTAAGGAGCATACTGTGTTCAATTTGTTCAATGTACTATCAATTTGCATAAAGTAAGCCTGCAGAATCCGGAAATAAACTTGAACTTTTGCTTGGGCATTAACTAATAAAAACCATGACAAGTAATGACATCAAGAACCTCAAGCAACATTTCAAGCTCCTCGATATCACTGTCCTCCTGAACTGTCACTGCACTTGCCCGACTTGTTCTTGATATCTTTGAACCTATAGTTGGTGAAGATAGATACCAATTAGGAGCATCAGAACCGCTGACAGGTGAAGTTGCCCCAGCCAACTTTCTCGATAAATAAAGGTCTGCCATATCATCGTCGTCATCTAAAAGTTGTTCAAGTTCATCCCTTACCTAAAAATCAGAATGCTTATAAAGAATAAGTCTGAACCCATGAGTAGAGATCCATTCATCTATCTTTTTCTTCAGTCATTAGTGCCAAAGGATTGCCAATATATGCCCTAAAAAGCACTAGCAGTCACACAAGTTGTAAAACTAAATTTTGGAACTCAGGTTAAGTAGTTAAACTAGCCAAGGTATCAAACTCTGAAATATCGTGGAGATGTTCCATCACTTTATTATGTGGTATCAATTATTTTGTTGCCAAAAAAGATATAATGTGATTTCCATAAGCATTGTACTGGTCGTTCTCTCTACGCTTGCCTTTGCTTTTCATTTTCCTTTTGAGTTGAAGAAAAGTATATTTGTATATTAGCAGCAAAACCCACCTGCATATGATGCTCCCTAAGGCATTTCCATTTTGAGGAGAAGTATTTTAAATAATGATCATCCGTACACCATCCGTACACCTCTAATTACAACTTCCGCATCTACTTAAAATTACCAGGGTTTTTAATTGATTTACAGAATTAATATTTTCTTCCCAATGTTAAGTTTCTTCCTTATTATCCCTTTTAAATTAATGTGGCTCTTTATTTTATTTTATTTTTGGGAAGCTACATTTGTCTCTTTAGCTTTCCATATGACTTGCATCCTAGATTAGATATGAGGGCATGAGATCTATTAGAAAACAATCAAATTCGGTTAACCTTCCAAGGGAAAGACCTGTAGCAAATCAGATTACTTGGATCAACTCATGGAACAGAGAGACCTATCCTCCAAACACCGACCATTGGCTTCCTTCATTTGCATTAAAGAGTTAGGTTTTTCCTGTGAGTTAGCATGTATCTTGGCTATTGAACTTTTAAAGGCGAAAGAAGAAACCTGAAGAAAGTAGAAGCTATGGCAGAAAAGAATTATGGCAGCTTTGAACCCTTGGTTTTAGATTTGTTAATGCACACTCAGCCACTCAGTGAAAGAGGATGTAAGGAGAAAAAATATTGTAAATTCCAAGTAGATAACAATGCCATCATCGAGAACTAATATATTGCTAGACTACATTCTGGAAATCAGCAGAACCATTAGAAAAAACTCTCGTAATCCTAAAAAAAGCAAGTATTTCAGCCTATTCAAGATTTATGCATGTTATTGCATGTATGATATAATCAAAAGTCATCTGTTCACTGAAAAGCTGTAAGCAGCTTAATATATTCTAGCAGTGGGACAAAACAAAACTGAGAAAGAAAGGATTCACCCACCAGGAGAATATGAAATTGCACTCATATGTTTAGATCCCAGAATCCTACACATAGTAACATACCTCTTGAACCTGATTTGTCAGCCTTGTCATAGTAACATACCTTTGGAACCCGATTTATCAGCATTGTCATAGCACTTTTCAGTTTGCGCACCCAGTCCCAGTTGCAACTGCTAATCTGCACATAATAATTACAATTCTTGCAAGTAATTGAATTTGTCTTACAAGCAAGCCGGGAAAACAATGGAACTGAAACTCTCAGCTACTAATGAATATTAAACATCATTATGGCAAAATAAATGAAAAACTATAATATGGATAGCCATATTTCCATGTTATATGGGAATGACTGTTAAACAACTGGATCTCAGTGAAAAATGTTTCACCATATGCTATAAGAACTTTTCTTAAACATTTTGATTATTGCAGATAAAGATCAAAACATAGAATGTATTTTACAATTCTCTAGATATCATCTATTTTAATTGCACTACCTACTGATGCCAACATGGATTTCATCAACAATCAGTAGTTAGAGAGCACAAATCACGTGAACCAATTCATAACAAAGAAGAGGAAAGATGCCTTCAATATTAAAACATTTTATGATCCCAATTTGTCTTCGTGGCTTCTTGACATACCTGTCATTGTAATTGGTACTAGTCATATAAACAACTATAAAGCAAGATCACCCTTGACGGTTGAGCCAAATACTGATGACCAACTTAACTGTGAACTGAAATCAGCAGGACACATTGTGAAACAAGAACCTCAGATATCTTTACAGCTTTTTACCTAGATTTGTTTTCTCCATTAATTTCAATGCAAACTGCTTAGATACCACCATAGAAACTAATCACTGCCATTATCCAGTCAAGTTTGGCGGAAGTAGCAATAGAGAATTTGCAATGACTAAAAAATATATGCATTAAAATGGCAGAATTTCTAATTCTGCTGCAGAATCATGAAAAATACCTAAGAAGCTGATGACTGTTTTGACTTAGTTACAACCTGACTTCATTCTGGGGTTGTATGTAATTCATGTAATTGTGAGTTTAATCCTTTCTCAAAGAACATGCATAAAAATAATAACAACATGATTACATTTGCTCAGAAGTGAGAAGATACAAAATATACAAAACAGAGGTTTCAGTACTTTGAGAGCCAAAATCCTACTCCTATATGTTGCATCAAAGCCAACTATCAGCTTCAAATGAATTATTTGAAAGAATCATGCCAGCAACAAATCTCATCCATTCAACTAGATGGCTTCAGATAAAATCAAGGACAAACAATTCAAAGAGAAAATACCTTGGAGATCAGCTCATCTAAAGCTGGAAAAGTATCAGTCTCCAGTTCTCTAGTGCGTGCATCAAGAAAGCTACAAATTGCTTCTAATGCAACTTCTAATGCCCGAAATTCAAATGGAAATTCTACATGAAACAAACCAAAACCAACATGATATCAATGGTATTAAACATAGACTGATACAACCACAAATTAAGTAATTTCAACCAAAAGTTAGTGTTACCATTTTCTTCCCCATTGTCCATATCATTGCGCACACCAGGGTGTTCTTCTTCTTCTCCTTGACCTTGACATGTGAGATTATCCTGAGGCAATCGCCTTTTAAGTTCCGCAACAATGGGGATTACATTATCATCAAATGGATCTCTAAGCAATACCTATCACGATATAAAGCACAACTTACCTCCAAAACCAAAACCCACCTTAATACAAACCAAAACGACACTAATTAGCCAAAAAACAGAACAAAATTATATAGCATAAAAGTCTACTAAAATGTTCAAATTATATAAACTAACCTCTTTTGCTGTTATTATAGCTTTAATGTGCTGCAATCAAATCATTTAAAAAAAATAAAATCAGCTTTAGGAAACATCTAAAAAATAGAAAATGAACACATAAAAAATCAAAATTACCTCTAAATTGAGAACAATGACTTTTTCTCTGCCTAAAATGGTGGAAGGGCGGGATAGCATGGGATCAAGAATACGAAGATCTCTAGCATGAATCTGAATGCGGCGCATTATAGCATACTTGTCGACGTCAAGAATCACGCCTTGCCCCTTCGCGTGTATCGAAACCCAGCTCGTTGTAACCGCCGTTTTCTTCTTCGGCGAAGCTACTTGCGTCTCCACCACGGGAACCAAATACACTACTCGAGCCATTCAAAGAGAAAAAAAACAGAGAATTAATCTTTGAGCAGAGCAAAGATGAGGATTGGGAAATTTTTATTGAATTATGAAGAAGGAAAAGGAAGTGTTAGGGTTTACGGAGGAGAAAGTGATGGGGCAGAGGATAGGAAATTAGGGAGAGATTTGCTGCATGGGGCTGGCTGATGCTGGAAATGTTTCAGTACTGAGTTAAAAATGGAGGGCAAAAGGTTTTAAACAGATAAGTTTACTTGTTTTTACTCTTCAACTTTTGGCGCGTGCCCAAACGGTCTTTGTTCTCTTTTCTTCCGTCCCTGTTTCCTGTTTTTTTTTTTTTTTTCTTTCGATTTCACCATTTTTTTTTGGTGTATACCGACACCATTACAAATAAATTTCTTTTTTGAATTTAAATTCTTAATATTTTATTACTTGTAAATAAATTTATAATTTTTTATTTTGTTCTAAAATTTAAGTTTGATTTTTATTATCGCCAATTGCTTTTAATTAATGATTTATAAATTCAATTTAAGTTTTGTTTAAACTATTAGACTCTAAAAATAAAAAAATATATATTGCTTATAATTATTATAATTAATTAATTAATTAAAATTCAATATTATGAAAATTCCATAAACATTATATAAAATGCACATTTTAAGTGGTAGATTTCTAATAATTATAAAATTATAATAAAAATTATAAATAAAATACTTTTTAAAAATTCAATAAGAAGAGATAACAAAATAGCATTACTTATGCTATATTTAGATCAATATTAATAAAAAAATTTAAATGAAAAAAAATTGTACATGTACTCTTTGTTTTGATAATTAAAATTAATAAACGAAAGAAAAATATTTTTTTCAATTATAATATTTTTTTAATAAAGTTACATATAATATATAAATATATCTTTATATTATTCTAACTTGTATAAACAAATCTTTTATGAATAACATTGAGTATGTTTAATACAATAAGATATATTAGCTACTTATTTATTTATTCTTAATTTTGTGTTTAATTTAATCTTTTAATTTATTTTAATAATAATTTAATTTGTTTTGTTGTTAAGACTTGAAAATTCTTAAAATATTTATAAATTGTAATATTATATAAAATACTTATAAAAAAAATTATCTTTGTAGAAAGTGTTAATTATATAATCAAATCCAATATTATAAGAAAAAATAAATATAATAATCTTTTCATAAAAATAAAATGTTTTTACGTTTCCATTGCTTTCTTTTATTTTATTTTCTTTTCCTTCCCCTCTTCTCAATCCAAATATAGTGTTAAAAAATGGTACTACATACATTGTCTTGAGTTAGTATATCTAAAGATAGGAGGATTTAATTTACATGAAAATTTTTTAGTTTTATATTATTTTTCATCACTAAGATAAAAAAATAAAAAATTTTTATTTTACATTAATGTAAAATATATATATATATATATGTATAAAAGAAAACATTGGTCATGAATGTTTTACCAACCTCCAATTTATCTCGTTGAGACATAAATACAACGTGATTGTTAAATCAAACAAGACAAAACTTATATAAAGTTTCATAAGTGAAATTTGTGAAGTTTCTTATTAGAAATGAATAAATAAAAATTTTAATAAAAAATATAAACTGATAAATTGAGAGAATTTAATGTGAAAATCAATAATATATAAAAAAAATTAAAATATTATTTATAATTCAAATTTAATTGATATTAATTCAGCGTAAAAATTTTATCAAATTAAAAATGTCTATTTAATAAATATATTAAAATTTTTTCAAAATTTGTACATTTGATTTATATTATAAGATTTTTTAATCTATCGATTTTGATTTTTTATTTTAATTTTAATTTTCTTGTTTCTAATAAGGAATTTCACAAATTTTTACCTATAAAACTTTATATAACTCCTTTTCAACTAAACAAATCCTTAATTACTAAAAAAAAAAAAATCCTTAATTTGAAGGAGCAGACGAACTAATATGGTTTTTTTAAAAAAAAAAATTAAGAGATAAACTCAAGGGGCGTCAACTTGATTGCATGAAGGAAGTACGAAATGCAAATTATTTGCCACCTTCCTATTCCTATCCATTAGCATTTGCCAATAGCCATACAATTTGGAAATAGGGATAACTTTATGATTTATGAATTATTGAACATTCTCTCTTTCCACTTCACTTGAAAATGATATCTCATTTTTCAAAATTGTAACAAAAATTATAAAATTTTGTGTTTTCTTAATTCTTTTACCATTAGCTTGTAACGAAGCAAAAAAAATTACATACATACATATATATATATATTTATATATAAGAAAGAATAGAATAATGGCGATCGAACTTGTGAAAATAGAAAAGAAATAAAAAAAGTTGTGATCGAATTTAGTTCCAATGTAAAAATAACGATGAAAGGAAACCAATGAATGAGACGTGACGATCGAAAGGGAAACGACGGTCAAAGCAATTGAAAGAGAAGCTTGGGTCGACTACAGTTATCGGGATGAGGAGAGGAGAAAAAAATTGAGATTTTTTACTAATTATTGTAACATAGAAAGGATAAAATAGACCAAAAATTACGTTTATTAAGAGCAAAATAAAAAAATTTATTTCCAAGAAAATGTAACAATATCTCATAAATATGTGATTTTTTTATTCACTAGCAATTGGAGGTTGGCTTCACTAAGGTTTCTTATATTAATTTATAGTATTTGATTAAGTTAGAAGTTAAAGTAATATATGTAATTAACATAAAATAATAATTTAAGAGAAAGTTGAAAGCTTTCTTAAAACAACTATAAAATCAAACTAATTCCTAGAAGGTAATTCCTAAGAGTTGAAAAGTTTGTATCTTCCAATAGCTGATAAGAACATGTGTTCAAAAGGTATATGGATTCATCCAACTATAATATCAACCAATAATCATAGAGTAAATCACTGGCTTGCATATAGTTTACAGTTGAAACTACAAGTGCATTTCGTAACTCAAGTGGCCATTGATCTTAAGCTTCATAATGATTATCATCATCCGCAAAGCATAGCCATTGATCAAAATGGGCTAACATGTCAACATCTATGGTGAAATTTAGGATACCTTGAACAGAGTCCACAGTGTAATTTAGTTTAAAAAAAATCACCTTAACACATTTTGATTCAAGCACATGAATAACCTAGTTTTAGAATAATCAGACTTTAAGATTTACATTATATTAAAATTTTCTCTAAATAAAAATATAATATTGTAGTTCAATCATTTGTAAAAAAAAAAAACAATGAATTCATAATAACATGACTTATGTAACTATAGATTTAGTCACAAGTTTTTGAAATAGCACTTCATTGCCAGCGTCTTCAAGATAACCAACTGTAAACTTTGTGTGATGTCAACTAAGAATGAGCTATCAAAAAGAATGTCTCTTGATGAATAATCATCTGAATCTTTCCTTTTGATGGAATCTAGAACAACCACACAATCTTTAGCATTTTTATAGAATGAACCAAGCGTATCTTATTAAAAAGATAGCATAAAAAAGTTATTGAAATGTTACCTTAACCATTGTTGTTAATTTCATTTTGGTATCAATCATACTGATCCATACGCTCCAATTATACAAAAATATAATACACCCAAGGATAATTTTTGTACTTTATTTAGTACTAGTAATATCGGTTGTTTTTGTTAATTTCGGTGAATTTCAATGAAATAGCATATTTCGATTGATATGTGATTGTGAAATATATATTATCATTTTTAACTTATTTTTTTATTTAATTATTTTTAACCTAATAAAAATAAAATTAATTGACAAAATAAACCTTAAAATTTGAGTTTCTTTATTTTTTTAAATTATATTTTATTTTTTCAAACCAAAGTTTATAAGTATTTCAATTTTTTTCAAGAAAAAAAAGTATACTCCTTTTATAAAGTTTAACAATCATAAAATCTTGGTTAATTTTTTTCATTGTTTTGTTTTTATCTTAATATTTATATGAATAATATTTACTTAAATATCATATGATCAAATAAGTGTTTAAAAATATCATGAAAATTTTATAATATTATTTCTTATGCTTTTAAACTTATTTATTTGATTTTTAAATATATTGCATATTTATTTTATAGATTATTAATAATATTATAATGTACAAGTTCATATATATATATATATATTTATATACATATATGTATGTAAAAACCTTAATCTTAACCTTAAACGTTATTTGGTATGATATTAACAACCTTAACTTTAACTCAAAAAGGATATCTTCTATCCTATGATATTACCAAACTTTCTGATATTACCAAGTTTTGTGATATGCTCATTACACCAATGATATTACCAAAAAATTTGCCAGGTATTACACATGCATCTTTCAAAGTTTTTTTGGGTTTTGTTAAAAATAGCTGACCATAATTGGTTGGCAATTAGCACATTTCCTTATTATTTAATGTGCAAAACATCTCTATGAGTTGATGACTTTTAAGTCTCTCTATAAATAACCTAAAATAGTGTTTTGGATGCTAAAATAAGCAATTAATTTGAAAAAAAAGGAATTGAATTTATTTCCAAATAACCAAAGCCAATAGAATTCCATTTGGTTTTGGTTCTGAACAAAACATAAATTCTCTACAATTGTCTAGAATTACTTCCATCCCTAGACTTTTAACCAAATGGGGGAAAAAGAAAAAAGAAAATCCAGTTATGTTATTAATTGCCATGGAAAGACCCAATTGAACCTAAACAGCAAAACCTAAATAGAACATAAATAAATTGAAATATATAATGATTAGGATAACATAACCCATAAGAACTTCTTGTTGCAAATGTGTAGATATGGGTACGCTGTAAACATTCACACAACATATGGTATTCAACTATCAATTATGAAAAAAAATGCAAACATAGTTATACAAATAAGAACAGTATTTAAAAAAAATAAAATTAAACAAAAAGAATTGAAACTCACAGGAAGAGGCTCTTCATGATGGGGATGACCCTTTGATAGGTTATAAATCGCTAAAACAGTGCAAGTAGCTATGCCTAAATATGTTTTCTACTCCCATTTCGCGTTTCATCTAAACAAATATATAAATTAATGTTAAAAAAATAAATAGCTCTGATTTTTTTTTTTAAACCAGTATGGATTTTTAATTATAAGAATTTTTTTTAGGCTTCAAATTTCAACCTTTTTTTATAATCTAAATTTGATTTTAGTTCTTCTGAGTCTAAGAGAGAATCAATCAAAATCTCAAGGGTAAACTAAGCAATAAAACCCTAACATACCAAACAACGGGAAAAAATCAACATATACACATTCAAACAGATGAATGAAAGAAAACTGATTCAAACTGGATACAATAATCTAAAATTTGTAAGAAGAAATGAAAAAGAAAAGGTCGCATACAAGCATCATCGTGATGAGAAGAAGAATCGAAGCCTGTTTGACACTATTTGTGTGATTTCAGATGTGCCCATAACATTTTTTTTAATGACATCATTGCTTGTTTTCTCTCCTTTGTTGTTCTATTCTCATGAATCTATAAGAATGCTAATTCAAAGTTGGTTGTCAAGAGTTTGCTCTTTTAGTGTTTTTCTATTCTGATGAACCTATAAGAATGCTAATTCAAAGCAGGTTGTCAATAGTTGTTGTGAATTCTTTGCACGTTTAAAAGCACTTGGGCTAGGTTATCACTCAGGTCTTAGGCAGGGTGATATTGAGCATGCAGCAGTTATACACTATGATGGACTCAAGAAACCCTGGTTGGAAATAGGAATTGCTAAATATAAGGGTTATTGAAGAAAATATGTGCAGTATGACCATCCTTACAACAATGCAATATCCACGAGTAATTGAAGATCACAGCATACAAGTGGAATTCTTTGATTCAGACTACATTACTACTTGCTTCTCCCAGAAACTGCTCCTGTTGATCTGATTCTTTAACAATCTTTCATGTAAATTTCAACTCATTTTTCCCATAATGTTTTGGCCCTAATCTTTTGGGGGTTGTTGAGTCAATATGCGCGAGTGCTGTATTGCAGGTATACATTTGTACATAACTGATATCACAAGATATCACAATTCTACTAGTTTTTTTTTTTTTTTCATGCACAATTCTACTAAAAGAAATAGGAAAAGATGAACTTTGTCTGTCTGATTGTCTTTATATCGTTTTCTACTTTTCATTTTTAGCGTTTACTATCAAAGAGGCGAATTAATTTATTGTCTTTGTGAATCAAGAAACTAATTTTAGGTTGGGTCGAAGTTAGGGGTCATGGCCTGCTAACTTTGTCTTGTCATGTGACCACAAAACACTCCAGGATCAATATCTGTTTATGGACAGATTGTGTGACACGTGGACGACATTGGTTGGGCGTATGTGGATAGGGGAAATCAGTCTGGTGTGATTCTGGACCACCGGTATTAATCTGTAAGCTGGTACCCTTTGGATCCAGCCACCGTTGTAGCTAAAATCACTGTGCTGTAGCTGTTCTCTCTCTCCCAATTGAAGAAGGAATATGGCAACCATCTTTGCTTGCACCCCTACCTCAACCATCACCCCTGCAGCTCTTGCTCACAAACTATCACCAAGGGTTGCATCCCCAGTTGCCATTGGTAACTTTCTAGGGTTTTTTTTTTTTTTTGCTTTCATTTTTTCTAAAAGTAAAGGGTCATTTGCATTTTCTCTTAACTGCAAATTTTACTTTCCAGGGTTGCCAAAAATGGAAAAGAGGGGGAAAGTGATGTGTTCCATGGAGAAGAAGCCTTCTGCTGAGGAGACTGGGTCAAACATGGGCATAGGTGCATCATTGGTGGCAGCAGTCTTTGCAGCTACCATGTCAAGCCCAGCCATGGCTCTGGTGGACGAGAGAATGACCACTGAAGGAACCGGACTTCCCTTTGGTTTGAGCAACAACCTTCTTGGCTGGGCCCTGTTTGGTATATTCGGCCTGATTTGGGCACTTTACTTTGTTTACACTTCCTCCCTTGAAGAGGATGAGGAGTCTGGATTGTCGCTCTAAGCCAAACCTTATTTCCTTCTGGTGTTGTTCACTGAAAACACCATGCTCAAAGGAATGTAAAAAATCAAAAGAGTTTGGCCTTCCTATATTGTAGTAAAACTACCTTCTGCATGCCCAATGTTTATTCTTATTTCTACTAATTATGTTTCACTTTCTCCATTGTTTCTTCATTGATGCTTGATTTGGTTAACATAAACGTTGATATATGAAAGAATAGCAGGGCCAGGATATTTGCGGGACCTCTGCCCTTGGCAGCTCTACAATGGCATATTTCATCCGTTGGTACCTTTGCTTTTTAGCCACCAATGGCTTAGGCACCTCAATCAATTTGCTTAGGCAAGAAAAGAAGATTTTGATTCTCTCCCTATAATTCACGAGTGAAATTGGATCTATAGAACCGTCTCTTTGTGCCTCAATTTTAGACATCTAAATTCATGACTTTACTAGTTCCTCTTCCGGTACCTTACCTAGCGTTTCTACGACAAGAATGTGCGAGTGTCGTGGGCTTGAAATTTAAGCCTACATTTTATATAAGGATTCGTTTAGATAGATAGTGAGATTAAATTCGATAAAATTAAAAATAAAAATAAAAATATTATAATTACGATTAAAAAAATTTATAAAAAAGTTTATATTGAATATCTCTTATTAAAATTAACATTGAATTCAATTAATCATATAACAAATTCAATTATATCGCACTGAAAATATATCACACTAAAAATATGATAGAATCCAAATCTTCCATTAAATAAGTTTAAGTCAGTCTATTTTTGGATTGAGTGAGTGTGCCGGAATGTTAAACCTACTTGGATTTACTTTGGATATTTTCCAACAAAAAATCTTAAATGGGTGTCAAAATCAACCACATTTGATTTTTCACCTAAAAGTTTGAGCTCTCGTATAAATGGTTTTAATTATTAGCATTACAAAATTGTTTCTTCCAAAAGTATATGGAAGAAACTGAAATAAACAAACTTAAATATGTTTTTTTTTTAATCTTTTATGTAAGTACAAAATTTAAAAGTAGAACCATGAACTTCAAACAACTCAAGTGATCATCTTTCACCTTCACCAAATTGAAAGTGATAACACATTTTCGAGGATGATTTTCAGTATGAAGCGATTATGGTCTGGGACTATGGGTTGAACTGTGAGTATTCTTCTATCCTAAGGTCTTCAAAGTTAATTTTTTTGAAAATATTAACTTACTCATATATTTAATTTAAATTATAACAAAACTATTATTAATTACAAAAATTAATTGATTAAATTGGGAATTGCGATGTCTGGCAAAAAAAAAAAAAAAGAAATTGCAATGATTACATTATCCTATTAATTTCAAAAATAAAAAATAAATACTTTTTATTTTATTTGAACGATCGATGAAAATGAATATTTGTTATGACATTATATTTTTTTTGGATTAAATCTTTAATTATTTGGTGATTTTAATATCCACAATCCACGTTCCGAGGCCTTAATCGAATCCCGCCTCTTGTTCGTATAGAGTTCAAAGAGATAGAAGACAACCACAGCCTCATGCTCTGTTCTTCTGAAGTCCATCGTAGACTCATCCACTTCTTCCAAACTATTAGCGTAAACCACTTCCGACTTCTCCAACTTTACTTCAAATCGCGTGGCCTCCTCAGTAGATAATCCTTTTCTTCTTGTACGTTTACAATTTTAAATTTTTTAAAATCCAAAGACAGCAGAAGAAAATTGTTCTATCTAAGCTTAATCGAGCACTCTATGCGGTTACCACCCCATCGTCTTAACCTTCCCCTTGATGAAGCTGTTAAGATAGAGCTGGAAACCCTTTTCTTGGATAAGGTTTGTAGTACCATATCTTCTGCCATGTTCATTGTTGAAATGGGTATTTGCTTTTTCTTAAGTATTTTCATTGAACTATGCTTTGACAAGGATTAATGATGTTTGTAAATTGTAATGTAGGTTATTGCAAAATTGGGACTCTGTATTTCAGTATATGATATCAGGTCAATTAAAGGTGGCTTTATCTTTCCCGGGGATGGTGCTTCTACCTGTACGGTATTGCTATTTTTTGTATTAAATTGCTGCAAGCAAGACACATCGATTCATTTTCTTGTTCTCTGCAGTCTCTGAAGTTTGACAATCTTGCTTTTGCTGTTGTGATAGGTGGAGTTCAGACTGATCGTGTTTCGTCCATTTGTTGGTGAGATTATTGTTGCAAAACTTAAAGAATCCGATGCTAATGACTTGCGCTGTAAGTCTGGAAAAACGATGCTTGTCTACTTATTGGATTATGATTTTTTGGTGTAGAGGAATCTGAAGTGATGTTTTCCTTTTTCTTAAGAATAAATACTGGCCTTTATCATCTGTATGTTGGAACCAAGAATAGCCTTTTGGTTTCAAGATTACATAATAACTAATTCAAATTGAGGCCGTAGCTCAACCTGATTTAATCATATATTCTCTAACTTGTGGTTAGTTCAAGGCAAGATGAGTCAGTTGAGAGGACATCCTTTCTATGTATGAAAGAAGTTTGTGGGTGGTGTATAGAACGCATTGTTCCCCATCAGTGAATGTAGAAGGTTGCAGTTTGAGTCGAGGCAATGCAGTGTCAGATTGTCTCATTTGTATGTTTTTTGTTGCATTTAGTTGCATAGGACTCGATCCATATGTTTAGTCAAAAGATGATAAGGAGAAAAAACAGGGAAACTTCCTCTCCGTTCTTACATTTTGACATTTAAATAACAGATATAAGTAGAAGGAGAGTTAGGTTCTTTGACTGATATCTCTATGGCTGCTAATGGCATGTTTTCTCTAGGCATAAGGGTAAAAAAAAAAACCCTCAAACAAAAATTCAATAATCATTTAAGTCCTTAATATTTTATTGCAATCAATCAAGCCCTAAATCTTCGATTTCGGATCAATTGAACCCTTAAACATTTATTTTCATTCAATTGAACCCTTGTACATGTATTTTCACTCAATTAAACCCTCAATTGGACAGATACGGTTAACTATTTTTCCTCTAGTAAGGGTTTAATTGATGAAAATAGATGTCTGAGGGTTTAATTGATTGCAAAAAAAATAATAATAATAATAAGGGCTTGGATGATTATTGAATTTTAGTTTAGGGGATTTTTTTACCCTTTTGCCTTTTCTCTATGATTTGAGGTGTACATATTCCAGTCATTTACTTGAAATAGTCTTTAGCTTTTTGCTATGTGGTTATTTTGATCGTCAAGTTACATCTTGTCTTGTTGTTGTGATCAAAGCTAAAAGTAGCCAGGCTAAGGTGGTCAAATGTTAGACCAATTATAAGTATCATCAACCCTTTTCTTGTTAAATATCTTTTTCGAATATCTACATGTTACTCACTTAATTATCTTGGTTCTGTAACTTGCAGTGACACTTGGATTTTTTTATGACATTTACATACCTGTCCATCTTTTGCCAAGTCCATCTCGCTTTGAGTCTGACACTAATAATAAGTAAGAGCCAGTTGCTTGTTTATTCAACTTTGTGTAACTAGAAGTAGGGCTTACCCACCAACTTTTACAAATTTTTTAACTTATGTCATTTATTATGCTATTTATGGTATGTATAATAACGTGCTTCTTTACTATTTTGAGGATTGAAGAAATCAAGGCAGATGGATATGGGACTTTGGAGAAGCAGACGCACAGTCCGAAGAACCACGATTTGTTATTGATGGAACAGATCAGGTATGTCTTGTTATGTGATGCAAATTTCCATGAACTTGTGATGTTTATGTTTACACTGACTTTAGATTTTCTGAATCACAGATTAAATTTCAAGTTTATAGTGTTAGTTATACTTCAATTCCACTTGAACAGCCAGAAAATTCAAAGCCATTTGCCCCAATGGTGATTACTGTAAGTTCCTCTTTCAAATTTGTTTCATCATTGTCTTGTCTGTAGCATTAGATCCCTCTCTGTCTGAAGTTTTGCTTCTAGGTTAATATAATGTTAATTTGTTTCATCATAAATCATACTAAAGTGCATCTTCCATTATGAGAGCCAACTTTGCACAGTACATAAGATGGAAAGATTGTCATTGTCATGTAATAAGAATCATTTGTTCTTCTTCTTTAAACCTTTGGTTAATCAAAACCTTGAATTATTTAAATCTATCCTGATGGATCAATCCTTTAATCCCTCAGTCTTCCTCTTACATTTTGGATCATTCTTCTATGCCTGAAGTTTAGGTCATACATTGATAAACATCCACATCAACAAAAAGAAGTGTTATACAACCCTTACTATTTTTCCCCTGCCGCTTCATTGATTTTTTTTTTTTTTTTTGCTTTTATGCTGTTGTGTATCCTACATTTCCTGCTTTTTTTATCAGTAAGTTATGTACCTCCTAAAAGTAGAAAAGGTTCAGTTATATGATTAATGTGTAGATATATATTTATGTTGTTTATTTTCGTTGCAGGGATCAACAGACAATGATGGTTTGGGCCCTGTTTCATGGTGGGAGGAAGCAGAAATGGTTCAGGAAGAGTCTTAAGTTTAAAGACTTACTAGCTAGCCTTGCATATTAACCAGTGGAAGGACAAATTGGGCTTTATAGATTGTAGATGTTTGTAGATACTTCAAAGAGCAGCAGAAATGAACTTTTCAAAGCTTGCAATACCAGCAGCAGTATTATGGTGCTTCTTCCTAAGGACATCGCCTCCATGTGCTCGGAGATTCCTTAATCCGCTCTACTCAACCATAAACTTATCATCAAGGAAATGCCAACTGCTAAATACAAAGGTTGAAAGTATTGTTTTGACAATTTTGGTGATTATCTTTACCTTTGTTTCCACAACGTGAATGGCTCAATAGCCGACTGCTGCATTTAGTTTGCCTCAATTTGTAAAACCAATTTTAATTGTGGTATATATTGGAGCTGATGGCAAGTAAACAGCACTAGTTTGCAATGCCAAAGGTACTAGTTTTTTGCAACTTTCCGTTGTTTTTTTTTTTTTTTTCTGTACACTATAAAGGAATACTTGTTATAGGTAATTTATTTTTAGATTGCATTCCTTTGAGCAGTCCCTGGATATGGTGTACCAAAACAGGGTCCTCCCCTTGCTAGCACAAATCTATGGCCTTTTTCAATGTTATCTGCACATACCAATTCACAACATCAATTAGATTAGACTCTTAACGGTTTAATTAATAAAGAAATCCAATTGTCAAGAATTAACGCATTTGGAGGATACAAGTTCAAGAGAACTTATACGTGTAATGTCTTTGTTAATCAGGTATGTAGTTGGATAAGAAAAGTTTAAAGGTAGATTAGAAACTTCAAAAAAAAAAAAAAAAAAAATCCAATTAATTTGCAATGCGAGTAGGAAGGTCATGCTTTATTAATTTGCAATTAAGTTTAGATCATAGTTTTGGTTTGCAACATTGGGAACAAGAATTGGAAGCTGTTCGTTTTGAAAATCCAGAAGCTGTTCGTTTTGAAAATCCATCATTTTCTTTCTCCTTTCTTGAATCTCGTGAATAATTAATAATTATTTACAAATAGTTTGAAGAGTTTATTCAAAGAAGTTGAAATTGTAATATTCAACATAACCATTGTGAAAATTAACTTTTGTATGGTTCATTATAACCGCAATGATCATTGACTAACTTTGCACAATCCCAGGAAACAGCCAAAAACCTGCCATAACGGGAAATATTTTCTGATGCTTAAAAAGAAAAAAAAAAGGACAATTACACTTTCAAATTTTTCTTTCAAAGATACATACTTATCAAATGTCAATTTTATACTTTAATAAATTACAAAGCATCTTTAATAGTTTATATACCTAAAATTCATTTCGTATTTTTTAAAAATAAATTTTTTATAGTTATATTGTGTTATTAGTAATCCATTAAAAAAACATAATTCTCATAAATAAATTACTGATAATAAAACACACTTATCCAAAATTTATTTTTAAAAATTATATTACTTTTTTTGAAAATAAATTTTTAAGAGTCATCTGTATTTTCGAAAATTCGATTTCAAGAATATATGAATTTTTAAAATATATATTTAATTATAAACTCTTGATAACGAGAAAATAAAGTTCTCTAATATTTGAGACACTAAAAAATATCATCAATAGATTAACAAATCTGACAGTAAAAATTGGTGGCCAAAATATTATATATTATTAGATTTGTCGATCCGTTGATAATATTATTAGTGATAATGTTTTATAAGATGTTCAAGCTTGGACTAGTTTGCATATACACACATGAATCATCGATATGTCAATTCTTACTTTATCATATGTGCAAATAAAAGAGACCAAATTCTCAAGTATGAAGGCATAAAAATACTTTTGTCATGAGCCCAAAAAACCAAGAACTCAATTTTATCAATGTAAAACCATAAAAACTAGAAAACAATGTTATCAATTTTTTAGAAGCTCAATAGAAATAACAAATTTATACCATATAGGTTAAAAATATCGATTTCAATTCCAATTGCACACATAATCAAGTAATGGATTTATAAATGTATGATTAAGATTTTTAATTAAAAGTAAAATTAAGTTTATTGGATATAAAGATTTGATAAGTCTTATATCTTTTTGAACATTCATTTACGAAAATATTTTAGTTTTTTTAGAAAATGAATATTTGAAAAAATTTAAATATTTGTGAAAATAAATATCCAAAAACCTTTGATTCTTATTAAAAATGGATATAAAAAAATTCTTAAAGTTTCTCCTATATATATTTTTAAAAAGTTTCAAAATTTTTTAAATATTCATTTATGAGAAATTTAATTTTAAAAAGTGAAGAGAGAAAATAAAAAAAAAGTAAGAACAAAAAATAAAAAATAAAGAATGAGATGTATTTAATAAAAATAAAAAAATTAATTTCGAATTTATGGTGTATATAGAAGTGCATAATATATAGCACTAAATGAGGTGTAAATAGAGTCTCCTTTTCACCTGACCCGTGCCATCCATCCATCTAGGAAGAGGGTAATATAGTAAATAAACATCATAAACCACGTTCCTTTTTTTTTTTTTTTTTCTGGATTCAAAATCACGCGCGAAAGCAAGCCATTACTCCCGCCCCTTCAAGCCCTCCCTTTATTTTCCATTTCCTCTATGCCAAATCCCCCTCAGCCCTCCCAGTCCCACCCTTCCTTTCTCTATTTCTCATTCAATCATTTTTCTTATCTTCATTTTCTCTCTCTTTCTTTCTTTGTCTCCGTTGCCAAACAGCCATGCACCACCCACAACCCCACATTTCTTCACCCGATTCCGCCGCCACTGCTGCGTTTGACTCCAAACCAGCCAAACGACGCGGCAGTTACAACTGTGGCCGATGTGGACTTCCCAAGAAAGGCCATGTTTGCCAAGTCAGCAGCAGCACACCTACTTCATCTTCCACCCCAACCTCAACTCCAGCTGCCACAACCACCACCGCCACCGACACTTACTCTTCAGCAGCCCGTCCTCCTCGTCCTCCAGCTCCACGTCAGCCCTACTCCAACCTCCGACGCGCACTTTCCTTTGACGATATCGACACCCGCTGCGACTTGCCGGAAATTGATTTAGATGGCTGCGATTCTCCCTTCCCGGGTAAGGATATGGATCCGGATAATGAGACAGTCTCCGGTGGGTTACCGGCAGGGTGCCTGTGGGAGGTCTTGAGGAGATTACCGCCTGCGGGGCTGTTGGCGGCGGCGAGGGTGTGCAAAGGTTGGAGGGAAACGACGAAGAGACTGTGGAGGGCGGCGGAGGAGCTTAGACTTATGGTCCCAACTAAGGGTCAGCTTAGGTTCACTGGATCCGTCTTGCAGAAATGCCCAAGCCTTGTTAGACTTTCTCTTAAGATGGAAAGGTTTGGGTCTAAACTATAGACAGATCTAGCGTTTCATGGACAGGACCGGTTGACACCAATGGAGATCAAAATGAAATCATGTAATGTGAATTAATCGGGTTATAATTTAACGGAAAATAATCAGTGAAATGAAATGGAAATTGATCTATAATCAGGATCGCCACGAGAACTGCAAAATTGTGTTCAAACTAATTACTGTTTTAATAGTGCTCTTTGGGCAACATTCTGATAAAAATTTCCTATAATTAAGAGATAAAATCATTGCAATAGTTAACAACGGGGTTGGATTAGCTTATCAACAAAAATTTCGACTGGAAAGCTTTAAGATCTTTATTCACTTAGGCAGATGTGTTCTCACAATTTATTTGATTGTAAGAATTTGCAAATGTTATTATCACTTTTTTTGCATCCCTTGGGAGGGGGGGGGGGGGGTTCATTGCTGCTTTTGGATTTTTTGTTGTAATTTTTGTTTTGTTGTTTGGGTTTTGCAGTGATGTGGATGCAACAATGCTGGCCTGCATTGCGTTTTCTTGCCCTAATTTGGAGTCTCTGGAGATTTCAACATCGAATACAGCTGTCAATCGGATCACAGGGTACAATTTCTTTTCACGCCTTTTTTTTTGGGTTTTTCTTTTGTAAGTTATGGTTAGATCTTTGAAATGGTAAGCCTAGTTTCTCAGTTAATAAACTTTGTTACTCTTGATTATAGTTTGATTGCCTAACCTTGATTTTGTTGATGGATGAATTAATTTAGATATAGCTAATTCGTTGAAATTTGTAATTCTTTTGACCAATTTCATTAGAGGGTTTGAGTGACTAAGACTAAGAGGTTAAAACAAGGGTGAAAAGCATAGATATTTCTAGTTGAGCGGTCTTGATCAGTCTTTTTCTTTCTTTTAATTCGAGATGTGATAACATGAAAAAGTCATAAAGTTATGTAGACCCTGTTATAGATTTCTTGGTCCGACTGATGTTGGTTTATGTTTGTTGCTTATTGGTCAAGAACTCTGTCTCTTCATATTTTAGGTTGTCATGCATAACGTGTTCCATGCTGAAATTTCTGTTTATATTGGAATCCATTGAATATTTTTGCCCCTGTTTCGGATTTCAAACTATTTGTTGTTTAATGTTTTTGTTATGTTTTGTCTCATATCCTGCTTATATGTAGTTGCTTGGTAACTACGCACAAATTGTCCAAAAAAGCAGGTACAAGTTCACAAATGTCAGATTAATTGATTCTGATTTACTTCTGTTAAATTTTTATCTATAGAGATGAATTGGGTCGGTTTGTTGCTGATAAACGCTGTCTCATGACCCTTAAGATGGATGGATGTTCTAATTTAGGGGGCTTTGTTCTCTTTTCGTCAAGTCTATCTACACTCTGGCTTTCTGATCTTTATTCCCTCTCTAAGACGGTAACATTTTCATCTAGTCCATTTTATTTTAAAAACGTTCCTGGGGCATTTAATTGGATTTGTGTTTATATGGCCTCCTTTTCTAGGGTTTTAACTGTCCCAATATGAAAGAGATATCCTTAGAATTTTCTTGCCAAGAAAATGATACTACTGATCTTACTGCCATGGTTGATGGTCTGGGAAGAAGTTGCCTGAGGTTGCAAAACATTCACATTGCATCAGTTCGGCTTTCACATGCTGTTGTGCTTTCTCTTACGGCTGCGAACTTGAGGTTGGTTGAATCTTTTGGTCTGTAAGTTCATTTAATCATGTATCATTTAGACACTGCTTTGATTTATCAAGAGTTAAAGTGGTTAACTGGACTTACTTTGTTCAGTTTTCTAGCAATGCTGTGTTTTGTTTCATGGATTTCTGCATTTGGAGGATAAATGAATCACTAATTTAATAATAATTGTCTATTATTCAGGGGGTTGCGGATGCTTTCACTTGTTCTTGGCTCAGAAATCACGGATGCATCTGTTGCTGCTATTGCTTCAAGCTATTCAAGATTAGAATTACTTGATCTGAGCGGGTATTTTTTGCTCTAACTTTGATTAATTTATCCATTTGTCTGAGTTGGTTCTCAATGATTACTTGTTATCTATTAATCTTTGGCACCATATTTCCTGATGCTTGCTGCTTGTTTTCAGGTCTAGCGTAAGTGACAGTGGCATTGGAATGATCTGCAATGTGTACCAGAACACATTGTCGAGACTCCTCCTTGCTCTATGTCCTAACATCACTTCAAGTAATCTTGATGTCTAAGACTCACACCTATAGTACTGGCAGTGGCTATATTTACCTATAACTGTCCTATTTATGCAAATCTATTCATTATGTTTTCTGCATTTTACAGGTGGAATTCAGTTTGCCACAGCTCAGCTACCTCTTCTTGAACTTATGGATTGTGGGATGACAATATGTGATCCCGATTCCCAGAATTCACCCAGTGATGAAAGTGGCCACAATGAACTTCCAAATGCATTCAACAGCAAACTGCAGCTTATGTATCAGAAGCTTATTATCAAACATGGCCGATTAAAAAAACTCAGCTTGTGGGGTTGTTCTGGCTTAGATGTGAGATCTTTTAGTCCATAATCTTGAGCATATTGCTAGAATTTTTTTTTTTCTTAATATCCTCTTGTGGTTCTTATTTGTGAATTAAAATGCAGGCTTTATGTTTAAACTGTCCAGAACTCAACGACCTTAATCTGAACTCTTGTAAAAACTTGCATCCAGGTATCCTATTTGCTAGTTTGATCATTGTCATTTGTTGGTCATTTAACTATGCTTATTTTTTTATATGATTTGTTTAATAAATTGTGTGTTTTCCTAGAGAGATTGCTACTTCAATGCCCAAGTTTGCAAAATGTGCATGTATCAGGATGTCAGGAGTTGTTAATTGGGGCCATTAAAGGCCAGGTAAATACAACTAAGTTCTTTGAGTTCCATTCTATACTTGTTAAATCACTCGTTTCGTGATTTATCCGATCAAGCCTGTTTCTGGAGGTCTTGTTCTTGTTTAGTCTTTGAAAATGTTGGCTTGCAGGACAGTGATAACTTGGCTTCTGTGGAAAACCATTTTCCGTGTAAGCATTTGGCTGACGGCTCCAAGAGGGTTATTGCACCAAATTTTCTCAGTCAAAAGGATAGCAGAATTTGGTTTGAAGGAAATTCAGATTGGAATGGACTGTGTTACTATTACACCCTTCTCGCATTTCTGTACATATGATGTCGCTTTTCTTCTGAATGTTCCGCCATTTCATAAGAGAATTCAAGCAATGAAATTATTCTAGAACCAAAACCAATTGGTTTGTTTGATGACAGTGAATGCCTCAATTTGATTGATAATTGGAAATTTCTCAACAAGTTGAATCTGTGAAAATGGAGGAATCATTGCTGAATAGATTAAGGGGTTTGTTAAAAAAAAAAAATCAATAGGTAATGTGAAGTTTTGTTGTTTGCAGTCAAGTGATGATGATAAGAAAGGAGGGAGAATTGCGGGACGACAATGTAACGTGATTGTGGACTAAAATCCCATTATTGTTACGTGTACTTTGTACAGCATTTTTATTGTACGCAATTGTTGTTTGTTGTCATGTTTCCTAAGGTTGTCTGGTCCTAAACAGTGAACAGTCCTCTAATAATTTACATTTCGTGGTGAAAGGCGGCCTCCTTACTGAATTGCCTTTCCTTAACAAATCTCTCTTTTTTTATTTATTTTTGTTTGTTGTAACATAAAATTTCACCAACTTTTTTATCTTCCAATAAAAGTTTATAATTTTATCAAGGTTGTCTTTTATTTTGTGGTGAATTTGTTTTATGTAGTATAGTTTATTTATACTTAAAAATTAGTATAAATATGAAGATATGATATAAAAATAATATAAAAATATAAAAGTAATATAAATTAAAATTAATTTTTTATATTTTATATTTTTAATTTTTTTAAAAAATGTTTATTTTTTTAGCTTTTGGAATTTTTTAATTTTTAGATATTTTATGTTTTTTAAAATTTATATCATGTATAATGATTTTGTTGAATAATCACATCACATTAATAATTTGATTAACTATATTAATCCAAAGTATTAAAATATATAATGAAATAAAAATTTAAATATCTACTTATAAAATTTTATTTTTTAAAATATCAAATTGGTCAAAAGATTAATATTAAAATGCTGAATTAAGAAAGAAAAACAAAAGATTAATAGTAAAAACTATCATACATATGAAAAAGAAGCCTATCATTTTATCTATAAGAGAATTTAGTTTTGTTTTCATTTATGTAAACTTTAAAAACTTTTTTAAAGTTCTTATGTAATTTAAAAGCTTCAAATTAAGAGTAATAGTGATTAGAGGAGAAGATCAATGAAGGAAGGAGAGATGAACAACTTACTCCCATGCGACATCACCAACAAGCATCCAGTGACCATCCTTGTCCTCGTATGAAGGAACATAATCGGAGCCATTAAGGAGCTTGCTCTCATTCATGAAATCCTTCACTCCTTGGGATCCACAATTTCCTTCAACATTCAACAACAATTAATAAAAAAATAAAAATAATAAATGTCAAGAACAAGTGCTTAATCAATCATTACGTACCAATAGTGAAAGAACTGAACATTTTGGGTTAGGGCATCGGAAAGTTCCTGGTAACTTCTGTACATCCTCAAGTCCACTTGCCGGACGTAAGGTGCTCCGTCCATGCTTACCTTCACAAAGGTGGCGTTGTCGCCGGCCTTCTCAGTACTCTTCTCGCTGCTGCTCTTTTGGGTGCCTAACATGTTCTTTCAAAATGATCGGACTGGTGGCCAACCTACAACTTGCGCCCTAAAATCATAAATGATTTTTTATTTGATTAATTCAACTACATATATATACATATTCCAAATTCAATTTTACATTTTCAGCAAAAAAGAAGAATTTTCGTTTTCAAATTAGATTATGAGGTTTGGAAACAAGTAATAATGTAACGCCCACAATCTCACATCAGGAGGATGTGTGGATAAGGAATAATATATATGTAAAGATTTAATCTCAAACTTGTGAAGCGTCTTTTGTGGGATAAAATTATGAGACCTTCGGGTTAAAGCGGATAATACCTCGTAGGTTAAGTGTAGGTCTCTACAAATGGTATCAGAGCGGTCACCAGTCTGCAATCGTGAGAGTCACTAAGTACTACACGGTAGAGCCGTGAGAGTCACTAAGTGTTACACGATGGTCAAGCATTAAAGGTAGGGATATTGTAACGCCCCAAATTTCACATCAGGAGGATGTGTAGATAAGGAATGATATATATGTAGAAACTTAATCCCCAAACTTGTGAAGTGTCTTTTGTGGGACAAAACCGTGAGACCTTTGAGTCAAAGCGAACAATACCTCGCAGGTTGGGTGCTTGACGTCCCTGTCAAGCCGAGTCTATCCATATGGCCAAAATCACACAAGACCATCGTGTAACACTTAGTGACTCTCACGGTTCCACCGTGTAGTACTTAGTGACTCTCACGATTACGGACTGATGACCGCTCTGATACCATTTGTAGAGACTCGCACCTAACCTACGAGATATTATCCGTTTTGACCCAAAGGTTTCACAATTTTGTTTCACAAAAGGCACCTCACAAGTTTAAAATTAAATCTCTACATATATATCATTTCTTATCCACACATCCTCCTGATGTGGGATTGGAGGCATTACAAATAAAGGTAAGAAAATCAATAAAAATATTGAAGGAAATGTTAATTCTATGAAATATGATTGTTAGATGACGAGGAACGAAGACAAATCTATAACGATTAATGAAATTAACCTTGTAAAGTAATTTTTTATTATTATTTTATCTAAAAATGTCATAAATATTATAAATGTTGAAATTTTAATTATAGACCTATTAGACAACATCTTTTAAAGATGATTGTGTGAGTAAATTAAATCTTGATTTCAATTTCTTACTTTTTTTTATGTATATATTTTGAAATTAATAATTAAAATTTAGTTTTGAGTTTATATATGTTAATTTTGTTGTATTCATGTCTACAAAAAATCCACTATACTTAATTGTTATTTATATGATCATTTATGTATATGATTTACAAGTTTGGACTACTTTACATGCTTTCAGCATAGAAGTTGGGCAAATAAATATAAAAGAAAAGTCATACAAAATAGTTTTTCTGTATTTTAATTTTGCATGAAGGTAAATATAGATCATGATTATAACCCCAATCATCGCTTCCTTTCTTTCTTTTTTTTTTTTTTTTTTGGTGCTAGCAAAGAACCCAAACAGCTGGAATTAGAAAACTTCATTTTTAACTCTCTCTATTGGTTTTTTTTTTATAAAAAAAAATTTAAAATAAGATATATCATACATAACAATTTGAGACAGGTGATTGCAGGTATGAGAGTAAATGATACATTAGTATTCACAAGCTACTCGGATTCGATTCAAAGAAAACTCAAATTCGGTTCGATTATTATCCAGTCGAGCTCGAGCTTGAGTAGCTTGATTTATCGATCGAGTCGAATTTGAGTATTCTTATATCCGACTCGAGTAGCTCGTAAGCCTAATCGAATTTTTATATTTAAATATATTTTTATTATTTTAACTAATAAAATATTTCGAATTCGAGTTCAAGCTCGAGCATAAATAATCGAACTCTTGTTGAGTATACGAATCAAGTTTATTTTTACATATTAATTGAGCTTAATCAAGTGAGCTCAAGTAATTCGAATTCGATCATTAATCGAACTCAAGCTTGAAAAATAAAATTCAATCGAGTTCGAGTCGAGTATCGAGTCGTGAGTTATGAGTAAAGTTCGAGCTTCTCACTGTATTGACTCGACTCAACTCAATTACACCCCTAATTGCAAATCGTGCATTTCATATGACTTTAATAATAATTATAGGTCGTGCATTTCAAATAACCCTAACAAGTGACTACTAACAAGATTTGAATCTAAGACCTCTTAGATAAAGAGGACAAACCTTAACTAATTGAACTTATTACTTATCGATCTTTATTGATTAAATATATTACTATATTCTCCAAATAATATAATCAATAGAGGGAAAAGTGGGAGGTCGAGAAGTGATAAATTATCATGTTTTCTTTTTCTCTGAATACATATATAGACTATTTGGATAATTTTGTTTTGTATTTTCAAGTTACATGTTTCATGTATAAATACATAGCATGAAAATAATTTTGATTCGTACGTAAGCATATCAATGTGAATGCAAGCTTTTTTTTTTTTTTACTCGTGCTATATTTAATGTCGTCGGTCCATGGGAACAAAGCCCTAAAATTTTGTCATTAATTAATCAACAAAGTTAATATTAACTAAGTCTTAATTTCTTTGAATTTGGAGTCATAACGTTGTTCACGAAGGATCCATTTCATTCTTGTTTGTAAGTCCAAGTTATGGAAAGCAGCGCAATTAAGGCTTTAATAGAAGAAAAAACCTTGGATAAAATTTTTTAGGTGCACTTTTTCATTAAAAATAATTTAATAAAATTGATAGATTAATATAATTTAATGAGAATATCAATAATATATAAAAATGATTAAAAATATTATTTATAATTTAAATTTAAAAATATTTATTTAATTGCAAAAATTTTATCAAATTTTTTAATAAAAAATATATATATAAAAAATTATCAACTTTATTTAACAAA